ACTTAACATCAAGTGAACCGTTTGCTCGCTTAGCAACTTTTCACATAAAAAAAATACCTAGAAGACCCTGCAAGACATACATTTATAATAAAACCGCAGAGGTTTTATTATTTTTTTTTATCCAATGATATATACAAAATTTGTTAGGGTAGTTATTAAGTCTGCAACAGCCAAGGGACTTGCAAATGCAGAGCAAGAGATATTCCCACGCATATTGTTTTGTTATCCTTTCTGTCATATGAAACTTGATTTGCTTCTAGTCTAATTTTATTGGTTGTGTTGTGTTTCTGTTTAATATTTTGATGTGCTATTTGTTGTAACGAGGAAAAATCTTGCCACGCATTAACCTTGTTTGTCGTTCATATGTAAAAATATTGCATAGATAGCAGGGCCTTTGTACAAATTCTTTCATATATTAACATTTCTGTCATAGTTCTCTGTGTACATAAGTTATAATGAATAAAATAATATAAAAAAAAATTAATTCCTGTTAACCCTTATGTAGGAAGGATACGAATTAATGTATAAATATATATGTTAAGCACGGACAAACTCTCATCCGGCCTGACCCAATTCATGAATCAGCGACAAACGTTGTAAATCTCCAAGATTTATCTTCCGGAATTCGCAAACTCTTTTTTTTCAGTCTTTCGTAACACGAGCTTTCAGATAAGAGGTAATTTTTAACGGCCATATCTTCATCTCGAATTTTGCTTCAATTATAATTTTTTTTATTGCTTAACTTTTAAAAAGGATCGTTTGATTTTAAGGAGGAATTCAGCTGTATTTTTTACGAAACACCATAATATCTTAAAACTTCCTAAAGGGAATTTCCTTAAAATATTCCATGTATCGTTTTATTTCAAACAATGTTCCATCTTTACACTACGTTTTGTTAAATTCCCAATTTTCTTAAGAAAACTTTTAACAGCTTCCATTGGAACCGCATCTTCAAGACCAGACCTTCTGGAATCCTTCTTTTCTAGTACACTTCTTGCGACTTGAATCTTCACTTAGAATCTTTACTTTAGTTTTAAAACAAAGCGAAAACAAATAGCCTTAGGAAACAACCATGTAGCCGAAGCGAATACAAAAAAAAAACGAAACCAAGATGGTGTTTTACAAACCTGGCAAATCAAAATAGCTCCCTAATTGTTTTTACAGTCTCATAAAATCAGGTTTGCGACACTGAGTTATTGAAAAAGTTCTATCAAGGTCAACGAATCCCCCTATTTCAAGTCACACTTTGCTTTATTGCCAATATCTTCGATATCCGACCCTTGTCAAAGGACAAAATTATATCGTTGATAATTTTTCTTTGTTAGAAAGATGTATTCTTTTTGTATTCAAAATATAGCCGGTTGTAAATAACACTACTATACCTGTACCATGTGATATTATAAGCTGACCTTTTAAAAAAAGCAACTGTTGAGTTTCTTGACGGTCTCTACTCAACAGAAACTGCTTTCCGAACCGGTGGTATCTTATTTACGAACTTATGTGAATACGTAAGTTTTTATTTTGGTAAAATTCGATGTTTCATAAGAACGCGCAAGCGTCTATTTGAATAAAGGTATTTTGAATATGAAAATTTGAATTTGTAGGTCAGCGTGACGTTGCACACATCTACTCGTAAGATATTATACTCGTGTATCAGTTGTGTGGCTGTGATTTACCATTACGTGATTTACCATTACGTGATTTACCATTACGTGATTTACCATACCGTTACGTTACCCTTTTTCCCTAAAAAAACGTATGTGTTAGTAAGAAGTTATACTTATTTAGTGTAACAAAATAAAAATAACTGAAAATTTTATCCAGTGCCAGTGCTCCTTGTCTATCAAAAAGGCATTAATTGCAATTGATAACTAAACAAATGGTTGAATTAAATAAATTGAAATTATAGGTACATGTCAAAAAACTGTTATTGTTTGCCGAGGTAATACCATGAAGGTGGATCATCATTAAAAATTTACTATCACAATTATTTCCAAACGCGCCAAAAAAGTAAAGTTCAAAAACGTCCTAGATGCCGGTACAATGAAATTGTCGATTGCAGTTTTGTCATAATGTAGAACCTATTGCGTAAGTCAGACAGGCACAAAGGACCTTGGAAAATAAAACAACGTAAATAGTATGACAATTATTGGTTATATATACACATTATACATTACATAAATTGGAGCCATGATAAACTCCCGCTTGTTAGCTAGCGGGAGTTTATCATAGCATTTATATTGCCTGTTACTGTAAGTTGGTAAGAAATTATAACACAACGGGTCATATTTAGTGTTATTCGTCACTACTAGTCATCGGACACCCACATTTTTTTTAATGGCAAAGGCGTATATACCATTGCGGAATCGGAATCTTGACGACGCCAATGTGTGGGGTTAATACCGTTGATACTCACGTAGGCTAAAACAAGACTATTATGCCTGAAACATTATATTGTAAACTGACCTTTGAAAAAAAGAGAACCGGTGGTAACTTACGAACTTATTAATTTTTATGTAAAATGTTGACGTTTCATAAGAACGCGCAAGCGTCTATGTGAATAAATATAATATTGATTTTGATTTTTATATGCGCTATTAAAAAAAAACCTTTGAAACGTACATATTGATAGTTATAATTATAATAAATAAAAAATAAACATCGATACTTTTTGGTGAACCTGTTGAATAAATTAATAAATAAATTTTCATCTATATCATTATGGCGATCTGAGTAAGACATTAACTTGAGCGGTGGCTTATAACGTGTCAGTATTTAGGATTGGATTTGAAATCACACGTTTATTAGAAGTGCTATCAGCCGAGAGACAAGATACACCGTTAAATGTCTCATTTATTTCAGTCCGATGAGTTAATGTGGGTAGAAGTGAATGCGAGCTAGCTACATTGGGTGAAAGTGGCCGTGAGGCAGCAATCTATCTCTCGAGACATGGACAGAGAGTTGTCCGTCTTGCGGAGCACCACCTACCCTTGCATTTGCTTTGTTTGCTGAAAATTGCAAATGAATTAAAGAATGGTGTTAGCCACATTTATCCCACATGTTTATGCTTTTAGAATCTATACTGATAAATAAGATTGGAGTGTCCGTTTGTAATATTAAAATGAGACCTTTTTACTGGACGCATATGGACGTATAAACGGTACATATACCAAAATAACATTTTCTATAATTTTTGTCTGTCTGTCTGTCTGTTTGTTTCGGCTAATCTCTGACCGACTGAAACGGCTGATGGAATAAGGAGTAACTTAGGGTACCTTTATTTTAGAAATTGTATGTATTTTAAATTCCACGCGGACGAAGTCGCGAGCACAGCTAGTCATAAATAAAAAGGCACAAACAGAGAAAATAATAAAAAAAGGCAGAGAAAGATTAATCGATGCTAAATGACAATAAGATTTCGGAAATCAAATCAAAAACCTCACAGGAGGCACCATGAAATAGTCACGACTGGATGAATTATTATTAGATTAAATGAATTATTATCACTTGCCGACAACCGACGAAGATACTTAGAATCGCCACGTAGATGTTTCCGTTAATCGTTTGAGTAATGTGTTATTCTAGTGTTTGTGAAAGTGTGAACTAGTGGCGAGAAATTCTTAGCTCATAGAATTTACATTAAACTGTTGTTACGAGAAAGCGGAAAAATTAATGCTCTTGCGGAGGCACCAAAAATAATTCTGATTCTTTTACGAAGATAGTGGAATAAATAATACTTATGATATTACCAAAATTTGCTTAAGAAATAGAAGAAATAATTTGAAGTTAAAATGGAAAGCATTTCATTTTCATTTTGTTACACTTCTTTTTTTATATTTGATAACTTTTTTTGGATTTACTTTTTTTGTTAAAATTGACGCTGCATATTTCATTTAAGCCACTATTCGCTGAGTTTTTATCGTTTAATTTATCGTTTTGTCGTACCTTACTGTTTTTCTATCGCAAATAGTTTTAAGTTCTTTTGTCGTTAAATTTGTACATATAATTGATATAGCACTCACCAAGCCTGTTATTAACATGTTATATTTAAATTGTCTAAAACTGGTGTTCCTACTTTTAAGTAAAATGGGAGCAAAGAGTAGGTAAATTAAAATAGTTAACTCTGCACGAGTATTACATATTTATACTATTTTTTATTACACTATTTTTAACTAGAAAGTATTTAAGCATTTATTTGAAGCGAATACTAGTGTTGCAAATTCATCGGCGGTGGTTATAACATCAGATAAGGACCGCCAGCTCACTTGCTACCAACATAACCATTTTTTACTGACGAAAAACTAACCCGACCTCAAATATCTCGCTCTGTATTCATTTTATAATTGATTTTCAGTCGTTGCCTAAGTATCTCCGGAGCCCAAGATCCAATGCCAATGAAATTGACATGGGACCAAATGGGAAGCACCAGCTTTCAATTAAAAAAAGAATCATCAAAATCGGTACACTAAGACGAAAGTTCTGAAGTAAAAAACAAAAAAAAAAAATTTCTACACAATTCGAGAAATGGACATTTTGGACGGTGGACCCTTTGACAGCTCTCATAAAGTCGACATGTGAGTGGCTCACTTGAGAGTGTCGGTTTTTCGTGACGGTGTGCGCGCGCATTCTAATTTTTTTTATTGTAAAAAAACATTGCCCTTGCTTTAGGATGTTGTAAGGACCCTGTGTTGTAAATACCCTGTGTTGTAAGGACGCTTTACAAACATAAATTTCACGTGGACAAGCACCCAGGTGCGAAACAACTATCTGTGGGTCACACAAATAGTTATCCCGTGTGTGAATCGAACCCACGACCCCTGACGCCGAAGATGACCTTGGCAACTGCGCCACGGAGTCATCATGTTAATTCAATTTACTCTCATCATTCTTCCCTAAATCGGCAAAAGAAGTATTACTCCAAAAATACAGTCGAATTAAGAACCTCCTTTTGAAGTCAGTTACAAATATTCCATAATGCAGCATGTGTATTGTTTTTGCAGACAACCTGTCCTGCTTCACCCACGGTTGCAGCACTGGCTGGGTCTCGGGGGTCCTGGGCAGTGAGGCGCTCTCGGGCGGGGCGTGGCTCGCCGCACTGCCTTGCCTCGTGGCGTTGCCCGCTGCGCCCTTCTTCGCGGTCCTAGCGGACACCAAAGGGCGGAAGGCAGGCGCGTTCTGTGTGTGCCTCAGTTTCATTGTGAGTATGGACAGGTATATATTTGAATCAGGGTTTTGGCTCTTAGAGCCGTGATAGCTGAGTGTGTCGCCTTTAATTCAATATACTCGAGCAACCTGAGTTCGATCCCCTTTTGACTCTTAGAGTCGTCATAGCTCAGTCCTGGCGCTCGCCTTTAATTCAATTCACTCGAGCGACCTGACTTCGATCCCCGGTGCCGGCACCATTGAAATTGTTAATTTTATGCCAACTTATCACGTGCTCGGTGAAGGAAAACAGCGTGAGGGAACCTGCATATTTTCGAAATAATAAAAAAAAATATTTCAAAATTATGTGAAGTCCGCCAATCCGCAGTAGGGCCGGCAGTGGGACATTTATAGGCTGTTACTTTACTTTTTACTTCTTTTTGCCTCTTAATATTCGTCGACTGTGGTGGATATTATCAAAAGGTGTGTTCGTCGTTTGAATAGACGATTACCGATTATTTAATTTTGTAAATGATTCTATAACATAATTAGTAGACTAGAATAGATTAAAATGATTAAGAATAAGATAAGGCCTAGATTCCCCATTTGAAAGCTACTTTAAAGTTTGCATGTATGTGATAAAAACCGACCAAGAGTTGGGCTCGTGCAAAGAGAGTTCTGTAACATTATCTATAAAAACGGCAAACATTTCATGTCTGTTGTATGGGAGCACCACCTTTTATTTATTCTGTTTCTTAGTATTTGTTGTTATAGCGGCAACAGAAATACATCATCAGTGATCACGATTCATGAGATACAGACTGGTGGTAGACGGACAGACAGAGAGCGTAGTCTTAGTAATAGGATTCCCGTTTTACCCTTTGGGTACGGAACCCTAAAAAGTAACGTGGGATTGTAGACACATGAAACCCTCGGTAAAAACTACTTCAATCGTTATACATACGAGTATGTTATTAATAGTACGGTAGAGTAGAGAGTAGGAAGAGAATAGATTTATCGCGTTCTGTATAAAATGTGTTTGTAGCAGGAAAAAAGCCCAATTTTTCAAAAGGCTGTCAACGCATCTGAAACCCTCGTGTGTAGTAGATGTCCATGGGCGGCGGTATTCACTTAACATCAGGTGAACCGTCTGCTCGCTTAGCAACTTCACATAAAAAAAAGGAAAAGACCATGTCCAATTTGCTGAATGTCTGTCAGGTAAGCTGGTCGCTAGCGGCGTGGTGCGGCCCGAGAGGCGTGTGGACGGCCAGGGTGGCTGCTGGTGCTGGTGGTGCCGGAGCACTGGCCCTGGCACCACTGTACTGCGCCGAAATAGCCCCCAGGACTAGAGGTCTGGCGGCGATGCCTGCTCTCGCCTGCAGGTATGCTCGATTAAAGAAGCCACGGTCACCTTTCAGATTATCATCAAAACATATGCTACGAAAGAAATTGAATTGAAACAAAAAGTCGATGACTGTGGTTTGCACCATTTCTATCACTTTGGAATACAAATTTTAATATCTACAACAATCATTGAAACATTTACGACAGAAAAGGGCCAAATAAAAATTACTATTAATTGTAACTGGATGAAGTAGAACTATTGATTACATATTAAAATAATATTTAAGTAACCGGTTGAACGAACAGTACATATCTCATTACAAAACGACGAATAAAAAGGGAAAATGTTATGTAATTTATTTAATTTTATTTTTATAACATTCGTTTAGCACCTGCCATCCACTTCTCACCATGACAAGGGTTGACTGGTAGATAGGTCATAATTATCTTCGTCATCATTTCAATCTGTTATAGTCCACTGCTAAACATAGGCCTCCACCGAAGACTGCCTCAAAGCACGATCCTGCGCCACCTTCATCCATCAACTTCCCGCTCATTTGCTGAGGTCGTCATGAGCTTAATCAAATTTAATTCACATCAAAGGTACCATACCATAAGTGCATATAAAACATAACTTTGTGTAGAAATGGAACCCATGACCGGAAGCTATGCACCTAGGTGGAAATCGTGGGGGTTTTATGTGTATGCGTAGGCATTTCCCACACGTTAACAAAAAAAAAAAGGTCGCGGTAACCAGACGGACCTACCCATTCGTGTAACAGCGAAGACTTGCGTGACGCTACCGCAAATACTCCTTAATTTCTCATCTCCAACTCTTTCCATGTGTGCAGCTGTGGCATTCTATTCGCGTACACCGCCGGGGGTATACTTTCGCCGCACGCGCTCTCCTTGTCAATGGCGATCGCGCCCCTCGTGCTTCTGCTCTCGTTGCTATGGCTACCGGAGACGCCATCTTACCTCATCAACGTCGGAAGGATACAGGTGACTGAATACTTACTCTCTCTCTCTCTCTCTGTTCTCTTTTTAAAAACTCATGTTACTTCATGCCTTAGTGAGAATATTTATCTATCATTTGTCGCCTGTCTTTATGTATATCGCTCTATAATTTGAATTTAATTACTGTAAAAGTATTTTTTTTAATGTGACAATATATTTGTATACATTTTCAGCTCCATTGGTGTTTATATAAAATTAATATGACAATGAAAAGGAAAGTTTCAGGACCCATTTTTACACAGCGTTCTCTAGTACTAAGCAATGCTTATACTATGGCTACTAGATAACGGGTAAACCTACTTAATCATACTTTTCTTTTGTAAATGAATACAAATAATAAATATTTTAACACCCAGACACTGGAATATCACTCGATTCATCACACAACTTTCTTCCAGTAGTGGGGATCGAACCAACACTCTTTGGCCTGAAGGCAGTCACTATCCACTAGGCCATTCGGGTCGTCAAAACTGGGTAATAAGGCCTTGACTCCATGTTTAATAGATTTATTCGTATTTCCAGGATGCCGCGAGGGTCATGTGCTGGTTCGACGGCTCCGACTTCCGGGAGGACTTGACGGACGTCATTGAGCAACAGGAAGTCAGGATACGAACATCGGACTGCACCGCTGGCAGGCGCCAGCATCTGCGACGGCAGGACTCCGACACTTTCCAGCCGATGCTGAAGAGGAGCAGCGGCCTGGACTCCAGTTTGGACAAGAAGGAGCATATGTCGCCGTGTAGGGAATTATGTATGTAGAGTTTTTATTGACGACTTCAGTCCGAATGCCAATGGAAGATTCATGCTAAGTTAAACTCTGCGTACAAAATATATTGAAGAATTTTACATTCAAGGTATAGTAATAATAAAATATAATAATAAAATATCTTTATTCACATAGACGCTTGCGCGTTCTTCTCAAACGTCAAAATTTTACAAAGAAATTAACACGTTCGTAAGTTACCACCGGTTCGGAAAGCAGTTTCTGTTGAGAAGAAACCGGCAAGAAACTCAACAGTTGCTCTTTTTTAAGAGGTCAGTTTACAATATAATATTACAGGTATTCTTGTTTTAGCCTACGTGAGTATCAACAGTATTAACCCCACACATTGGCGTCGTCAAGATATTCCGCAATAATATAATAGGCTTTAGCCATAAGTTCACTTTTAATTTTTCGTTTAAATTTATCAAGTTGCAGACTTAATATCGACTGTGCGATTTTATTATACATGCGCACACTTTGCCCCATGAACGACCTGTTTACTTTTTGTAGACGAAACAATGGCGTAGTTAGTTTGTCCTTATTTCTAGTACTTAGTTTATGTCTGTCACTATTCTTTAGATAATTATTAATATTATGTTTAACATACAAAATATTACAATAAATATATTGAGACGCAACAGTGATTATATTAATCTCTTTAAAAAGATCACACACAGCCAATAAGCCTCCTTTGTACAAATGATTAACACGTTCTCTACGGTACCAAATCTTGCATACGTTCCATTCCTGCGGCACGAGGTGTTATCGGCCCGCACCGTGACCAGACGTTGGCGACACGCGGTCTATTAGACCCACCTTAACATATTTAGCCTCGTTCCGCACTACATTAAAATTATATTAATTCAGTACGACATTAGGCCTAAGACATTCAGTACCTGGGAAGGTATACCAACCTATCCGGTACCACTAGCACATCTCAAATATATATTTATCTCTTTCCTACACTGAACCAAACCGAAGTTATGCCCGTCGCATGACAGAGAAGTTTACGTTTTACCTTGCCGCACCAAACGGAAGTTGCATGAGGGATGATTTAGACCTCGTTATGCAGTGAACGTGATAAGACCTGCATCTTGCGGTTTTGGGCCCAGACGCCTTACCAACCAAGCTAAGATTCGATGAGCCCACAGTGCGAAAATCCGACATCCGTCTACCTTCTTCGAAGCATTCTTAGCAACGCCTGGCGCCATCTAGTTCTTTAATCTACAATTGTTTCACTCGCGATATGTCAGTCTCGCGCCGTCGGTCGCGACGGGCGCTTGCGGCGTGCTGCGCTTTAGTCTGTGCCTCGGCGGGGAGCGGGGCGGCCGCACTCAGCAGCTTTGCGGCAGCGGTGCTCCGCCACTCCGTCCACCACGTGCCCAGCCTCAACCTTACCGCCTACAACTTCACGATCTACAATGGGTACGGGCCTTTACAAATGAAATGTAATGGGGGTAGCGTTTATGTGAAATGGTGCTTTTTTTATGGAAGGGAAGGCAAACGTGCAGGAAGCTCACCTGGTGGAAAGTGATCACCGCCACTCATAAGCTTCTGCAACACTGGAAGGCTTACGTTGCCGGCTTTTTAGGGAAGAATATGCTCTCTTCTTGATGGTAATGAGACGGCAAAACCAGAGGGGCACCGCCTAACAAATGAGTTGAAGTATTTGTATTTCTGCCAGTAACAATGGAAACTGAGAATACAGCTATAAAATGTAACATACTTAACGTAGACTTGTACTTATGTTACATTAGCGGCATGTCTTGATATTATTAATTTATAGTTTTTTAATAAATTAAAGATCATTTTGTTTTCAGAACCGAACCTCGTGCCATGTTAGGCGCGTCGGATGCTGGGTCGGTGCTTTGTGGGACCGCTCTTGTCCTAGGTGCAGCCGCCGCTACCGTCACCGTGGATAAGCTTGGAAGAAAGGTAAACGTGGAAGTACCTCATACTATCTTCTCCGAAAAACCTATGTAGACCCCAAACGAAGAGTACACTCGGCTGAAATTTCTTACAAGAATTGATACTCTTGACTCGTGAAGTAAACTCAATACTGTTACTTCAACCAAAGCTTACAAGTGGAAATATTACAAATGTAATAATAAATTACAACTTGACTAAATCCAAAACTCTACGGATAAAATTCTATGTAGGTATAAATATTTTACAGATTTTCAATTATCAAATTCCCTCTCTAAATTTACATCTTAAATTAGACTTATTGCTACCATAAATCTAGTAATACGTTGGGACACTAAAATCCCGAATAGAAATTCATTTAAAAATTCAAATAAATACAAGAAATAACTACATGTTTATTTAAAATTTTTATGGTGTTAATCTATGCCCTTAAGATGAATCATTAAAATTTGTAGAAACAGAACCTCACCAGGCCAGAGGATTCACTGCGGGAACCGAACCCACCTCTTCAAATAGCACTAAACTTTTCGTCCTTTTTTTCTGCAAATTTGAATAAATGATTAATATTTTACAGACCCTGCTACTCTGGTCCTGTTCGGGTATAGCTTGCTGCCTGGCCATCCTTGGAGTATACTGCGACCCCCACATCCGCATGCAGTCCTGGTACACGCACCGACCATGGCCATACAAGAGAATGATCAAAGAGAAGAACCTGAAAGGCGGAATAGGAGAACAGAACTTCACCGGAGACAGCGAATTTAATTTCATCAACGAGACCGTGTCCAATGGGCCTGATCCTATTGGGTCGTTTAGAGTAAGCTTGGAGCAGAACGCAACTCCCACGACCTGGACGGTAAAATATGAGCACTTAGAGCACGAAGCTGAAGAGATCTGGGCCCCTATCATTCTTCTATCGATTGTGCTGTTCTTGTACAATATCGGCCTGGGTTCAGTGCCTTACGTTCTCGTTTCGGAGTTGTTCTCCATTAACGTGAGTGCTGAATGATAAATATTTTGATTTTCTATTTTAATAGAGACAACAACAGTGTAACCTGGTCACCTGTTGGTATGTGAGGGCTGCCACAATGGACACTAGAGGTGTTGCCAACCACAGAGTGGAGTGTAGGTTAACAAAACGCAGTTTAAGTACTCTTCAAACAAAGTATAAATACTCTTACTTTACGCCGGTTTATTATCTAACTTTTTATTTTTTATTAAAACTTATTACGCAAACAAACTCAGAAACCTGATATTCACATCAGTGGCGAAGATCAAACCCACGCCTAAGTGACAGACTCACTTTACACTATGCCAATCGGGTCGTTAATGAAAACTAATACTTGAACGATGATCTCAACATTATTTTGGCCAGGTCCGCAGCTTAGCGTCGAGTTTCCTCATCAGCTGCACTTGGCTGAGTAACTTCCTACTTCTGCGGTACTTTGGCACGCTGGCGATTAACCTTGGTCTGCACGCAGTATACTATATCAGCGCCATTAGCAGTCTTGTGGCCACTGGGTACATCTACCTGCTGCTGCCGGAAACCAAAGGCAAGTCTCAAGGTCAAATCGACGAGGAACTGAACGCCCCACTACTATCCAACGGGAAGAAAAGAAAGGAGAGAGACCAGCGATGACAAGCGCTGAATGAAAATGTGTTCTCCATATCAGATGTCCGTGTTACTGAATAGCACTTAAAATAACAGTTCTAAGAACTGCTGAGACTTAGGAATATCAGTGAAACAAGTGGTCGTCCAGTCGTGACATTATTTTTTTAAGATATTGTCACAAATTCCATAGAAGTTGGTGAAAATGATAACGTTCGATCAGTTAATTAGGTTCTCTTAACCTGAGATCTGACCACGCCCTTTAAATTACTTATAGACATTAGAATAAGGCTCTTAGAAGAATTCTAATAAAATTAGAATAAGACTCTTTTGGAATTGATGTTATTAGTGACTCAGAAGGGATCCCTGCAATTCAACCCTGCATGCCAAATTAAATTAGTAGATGTACATTGTAGGGCGTTAATTAATATTAGGTCGGACAAGAAACAAAACAGAATAGACATTTCATTATATTTAGTTACCAATTTTGACGTGCTCTTAGGTTTGTAACTTTGAAATACGAAACTATTTCAATCATGTCATTATCTGTATCTTCTTTTCTATACTTTCCTAATTTTTTTATAAATGATGTTGCCAATACCGATCATAAATTACACAATATAATTAATGATTTTTTTACACTAGAATTCTATATTTTTGTTGTTAGTAGGAAATATTTAAAGATCATAATTATAAAGATATTTAAAGATTTATTTCATTATGAAATTTCTTTTCATTCAATAAAACCTAATAAAATACCAATGGGTTTTTAAAATCACTTAGTTATATTTACTTGTAAGCAATTTACACCACGCATAAGGAATCAAGTCCTGTCCGTTTGAAATTATTTATGTAAAGTGGATTGCTTGTTATCCTATAACCCCATCATACCTTCAAACCTAAACTTTAACTTCAAATTTATAAGAAGCTTTTGCTTATAGATGCCCGCAAGAAAATAAATATTTACACACGTAAATAAAATTGCACCTATATGTGACATAATTTAAGAATCAACTTCTAGTTGGTCCAGATTTGAAACGTTTATCCAACCCATTCTGATTACGAATACGTGACTTGTTTAACATACCTCAATTTCTTCTTAAACTATTTATTAATGTTATTAAATCCTTGTGCGTTTGACTCCATACGTCAAAAGAAGTATGCAATGGCATTCATTCTGTCTTACCTCCCAAGTAAGTACCGCATAATATACCCAAAGAGTAAGAAACGTAACCAGGAACGTAAATTAATATATCGGTAGAATATAAAGTATGAACTGAAATTTAATTTAAATTAAAAGACTAACCTATTTCAAACATACGAATATAGGAGGCAGTATTAAAAAAATAGGAAAAAGTTCCTTCATAGTTTAGTGATTTGTAACGCCCCAATCAAAGTACAATAACAGGAGACATGATATTTTTGTAATCAATTTTAACGAAAAGCAAAACTAATAGGATAGCTCTTAATACAATGCATTTGCAAGGCAGTGAGCCAGTTTAAATCTGGAACATTAACTTTGTCGGTTAAATCTATGGTCTCCGTAATTGTTACAAGGGCCCTCTGGGCCCATTACTCGCACCCATACGTTTCCATCTTCATAACCTCTGTTAAATAAAATAAGAATAGTTCAATTAATTCTCGTATCCAGTTATCATGAATAATTTGCGAATTTCCTGTTTGAGATAAAAATCTATGGTTGCCTTTAAATGCAACACGTACAGTACCACAGCATACATTTTCAATTAGTGCCTCCCATAAGGGGCAGAGACCATATATACATATATAAATAAGTGTTTTAATGTGTATTTCAATTGTATATGTATGTTGTGTATGTTAGATAATAGATATTAGGTAATTAACATTTATGATGTCTGTGGATAAGTTGTGCGTCCCAATTTAATCGACAGAAATATAATGCAGCATTTCTGAAAAGACGGACATGAAATTTCTAAATAACCTAGGTGAAGTTCATTGGGAGCATGTTTGTATTTAAAAATATATGTACTCGTTATATTAGGCTATTGACAGTGTTTAGAGATAATAATATATAATTTTGTATACGGTAACACCAGTCTCGTAATTAATTGTCAATTGTAATTTAGAAATAATGAAGTATTTTTAAAACAATTGCTTAAAATTACTGGTAACTTTTTTGGTGCAAATGCTGATAAAAACAAATGATGTAAAGATAATTAATAATTTTGTATTCAACTTAATATACAGCGATAGTTTTGACATAAATAAATAATTTACGAGTTGCATAAAAAGTATTTACATGAAATTAGAAAAGAAAACTATATGAATATATAAATTATATTTTGTCATAAATAATTATTTTAATTACTGGTAAAATTTATGCTATATAGCAGGAAGAGAATAATGTTTTTAAAAAATAAATAGGGATAATTTTTTACATTGATATCATAGTTTTAGGAATTTTAGTATTTGCCACAGAGGTAAGTGGTAATTAGTTGTTAAAAATATGGAATCATAACTATATCGATATATTTTTTTTGTTATTAAAGCTATACTTCTTTTGGTGCGTTTTGAAAATCACGACCGTTAAATTTTAACGATGCGCAAACACCTAGAGCGTCTTGATGCAGTTTGGTTGCAAATTCGTCACTTAACAACAAACGTCATCAAATTCACGATATTACCATGGCAATCCATAACAAATTTTTGAGTCGTGAGCTCGATTCCCACACGGGACAACTATTTGTGCGACCCACAGATAGTTGTATCGCATCTGAGCGTTTGTCTTCGTGCAATTTATGTTCGTAAAACGTCCGGACGATACAGGATAATGTAATCCTAAAGTGAGGGCAATGTCTTTTTTAAAAAAAAAAGAAAAATACATTCCAAGTGATTCGTGTGCCAGTACTGATTAAGCCATTATCAATTAGTATATCTTAATCAGTACTGGCACAGGGGATAGGATTTTTAGTTATTTTTATTTTCTTATGCTAAAGAAGTATAACTTCTTTCGTGCGGACATTAGTACATACATGATTTTCTAGAAATATGTATGTGGTTTCATAACATACACTATGTCAATGAAAAAAGATTTGTACAAGCACAAAGATCTTGCGTACATTTGCTGTGTTATTTTCACATCTTGTGCTTAGTGATCATTTAACTGATGTTAAGTTACGATGATCATAATGGTAAACGCTCAATAAAAAAAAAAAAAAAACTACCCTATTGGCGTCGGGAGTAGTGAACTTCCTTTTACGCCAGAGGGTGTGGGTTCGATCCCCACAACTGGAAAAATATGATTTTCCAGGCCTGAGTATTTATATATGTGTGATATGCATCTAATATATAAAATTCTCGTGTCACGGTGATTGTAATTGAACTCCTCGCGAAACGGCTCGACCAATTTTCGTGAAATTTTGTGTGCATATCAGCCAGGGTGGAGAATCCGACAACATCTATTTTTCATTCCCCTAAATGTTAAGGGTAGTCCACCAAAACATTTTTTTCTCCCATACAAATAATTTATATGGAGAAACAACGTTTGCCGGGTCAGCTAGTTTATTTATAAAAAGAAAAGAATGTTTATCAGTTTTCTAGTACCCATAGAACGTTGTGTAAAAACGTGTCCAAAAATATTTATTTATTCATTAAAAAAAACATCTTGCCTTGTAAATATCCATATTTTAATACATCGGGATGGCCAGGTTTGAAAGTAGATGTATTCACGCTCAGGTACTAGAAAATTCCCACGTTTTCAAAAGCTGCCAACATAGTCGCTATCCCTCGAGAGTTGAAGATGTCCATGGGCAGTGGACACTTAACATCAGGTGATTGTTCGATTCTCAAACTCTGCTAAAGTTTTTTTCTTTTATGAAATAATTACCAGTTTAGTTTAATTTCAATTTGTAATACAATTAACGCAACACTCCTTTAATTTTAATATTTCTGTCTATATTTAATCGAATGTTGTATTACTATATATGTGAAATTATTTTGATGTACACCCTTGTTAAAATAAAATTGCTGTGGAGTAAAGCCAGCGTTTTACTGAAAATCATTCACAAACGTGAAATATAACATATTTGGAATATTTCCAACCCAATCAACAAATACATACAAAGATAAAATACACTTACAAAATTACGCCTCCTGGGTATATTCGTCAACAAGTTCAAGGTCAGTGCTCCCAACAACAACCAGTAGAGGCATGACATAGACATCAGACATGATCTAACTTGTCCGTGTTCATCTTAAGATGGATCTTAAGATTGGGTGGACGGCTGTCAACCCTTGTTGGGGTTGCGCGATTTACCCCTAATGATCTCTATACAGAAAAGGCTTTTGCCCAGCAGGGGATCTTATATAGGCTGTTACTAAACTTAAAGGCAGGAACGGACTCATAGTCTTCCCTAATTAATCCTATTGAGAATTAAATTCAAATGATTCTAAATGTCATTGAAACCAAATATTTTCATTAAAATCACAACATACAACACACAAAAACCACAACCAGTAATAACGCGCTTGATATTGATATTTTCTCAAACATTTTTTTTTAATTTAAAGAATATGTACCTGAAGCCTCTAATTGAGTTAATTTCTTCTTTTGATTTTTTTTGTTTATTTTTTTTTTTGTTAAAATTGATGCTGCTAACTTCATTGTAGTCACTATTCGCTGAGATTTTATCTTCTTATTTAATGTTTTTTTTTCTCACAAATAGTTTTAAGTTCTTATGTTTTTAAATTTAAAGCATTGTGGTTTGCACCTATAATTGAGACCAAGCAAGACCACTCACCAAGCCCGTTATTAACATGTAACGTATAAATTTTCTGTTCATCTAGTGTTTAGTGTTCATCTTGGTAACGTAACAGAAATAAATAAATAAAATAAAAATAAAACATACTGTATTATAAACTATATGTATGTAAGCCTAAATTAACAATTGCTTTGGCAAGACACACTGGCAAATCACAGCTTGACGTTCCCCTGGACGATGTCATCGTATAGCTTCTCCGTCAACGGTAGGTAGCATCGGCTCTTCTTGTCCAGGAAATACATCGGGTCACCATGTAGACCAGGGTTGTACCCCTGCTCTATGAGTTCCTTCTTCTTCAGCTTGAATGTCGCTGTGAGGGGCGGCTCCGGCAGGATTCTGAGGAACAGAGGCCTGGCGTATGCCGGCAGAGAAAAACTGAGACCTTCGGCCAGCTCTTCGAGTCTCAGTTTATTTTCTTTATCAGCGATCGCGACCATGCCGGCTTTCCCCTCCACGTTCGGTATCTGAGGACCACGATATGTAATGATTTATAACTTACTAATATTATAAAGGCGAAATTTTGTATGTATGGATGGATGTTTGTTACTCTTTCACACAAAAACTACTGAATAGATTTTAATGAAACTTTACAATAATATAGCTTATACATCAGAATAACATATATGCTAATATATATAAAGGTATTGTGTGAATTGTACAAAATATATGTCAACTAAGTAGTGTATATATAAAAGGCGCATTGTTAATTCCCTTTGGGCGCGCGGGTGAAGCCGCGGATAGCAGCTAGTGATTTATAAAAAAAATATCATGGGATAATTTCTTAACTGTCCTTTTAGCGCGATAACACAAAGCGGCTGATATATACAAAAATTGTAAATTAAAAGCTCAGTAATTACTGGTACAGCTACCCAGTATGTTGACTGTAAGAACAATTTTGATCACATTAAAAGTTAAAAAACAATATAATATTATACATCTCGCCGATAATTAGAACGAAGATCCAAAAACAAAGTGCTGAACTTATATGGTCAACTGATGTTGTATTAAAACAAAAAAACAGTTTAATCTGCTAACGATATAATTATAAATATTTAATCTATCGTATCGGTACATACGAAAATATGTTTTACATAACATAACAATAATATATATAACTTCAGCTAAAACGTTTTGCAACCGGCCTGATTATTCGTGATTTTGGTTTCTTATACAAAATCTATTAAATACTTATTATTACAAAGTTTTAAGGTTATATTACATATATTTATTAAGTATACTCACTGTTACACCGTAAACGACTGTGTCTTTAAGGCCAACTAAATTGCTGATCACCCCTTCAACCTCAGCTGTGGAAACGTTTTCACCGCACCATCTGAGGAAAGCAATCATTTAAAATCAACCAAAACGTATCAACAATGCTTCGAAAAATAAAGAGAAAATTGCAAACGAACGTGTTCAAACACTGGGCTAACAAAAATTCTTTTCACGCTAAATATGTTAAACATTGATAGTAAATTATTAATACTTAAACCGACTTCAAAAACTTCTTTCTAGTCAGTGGAAACGTGACTTACAATGCATTATGCAAAACAACCTCTAAATACTCAGTTAGACTATAAATGTATTTCTAAGTGACGTGATCAGACCGGCAGGATACAGGTATTAACGAATGCCAGTACTATGCTTGTTTGATTTTTGCCGATGGTTACGATAACGTTAATGGTACGCGAATTCTGAATTGTTTTTATACAGGATGATTTTTAGACGAATTATACATACTTTGACATAATGTTAATTGAGCATTCCATAATTCAAAAAAAATATTAATATGTTATTCTGACAAGAAATAACCAGAACAATATCAATTCAAACATTGTTTGTTTATCCTGTTAAGAGTGATCACCCTATTGATAAGCGGTTCAGTAATCACGCGTTCAGCGAAAAGATTTAGTGCTCGTCAATAGGTTATTGTATTGAGACGGTAAGACAGGAATTTCTTAAGGTGTCCATAATGTTTGAAAAAATGAAAAATAATCTTTTAAAAATTTAGGTCACAAGCACGTACCAGATTCAGATTAGGAATCAAATTCTGCATATGCCTGTTACTATGTCCGTCGTCTATAAAATCAACCTGTATAGAACTGAATTCTCACCTTAGTGATTGTCTTACCGAAATGTATCACCAGTGCGATCCTTAAAATAGAAATAGCCGTAGTGGTCCATGACGAGAATGTCTCCAGTGTTGAAGTAACAGTCATTCTCCACTCGCACGTTGCGCACCATCTTCTTCTCCGACGCAGTCTTGTCTGCGTAGCCGGAGAATGTCAGGATCGCCTTCTTCGGGTCGATCTTCCCGAGCAGCAGACCTAGAAAGAATTCGTCGTCGTGTCAATGTTAAAAATCTTATGCACTTAAATAAGGCATCGTTATGTAGTTACATTATTTTTTAAGTTTTACACGTATCCATTGTTCTTAGACCGTGAATAAACGTTTCTTCTTCATCTTCTTCTCCGTCATCGCGTTTAAAAGACAAACTCAGTATTGGCACTCCAAATGAAACTACGCCTGTTTAAAGGATAATAATTTAAACTGTGAACTTCATTATATGTGACATGGCTTCAATGCTTTATTCTTTTTCTTAGTTTGACACTCTTGCCAGAGTGGTCGTGACTGTCGTGGACAGGATTGCGTCTCGTCGTCGCTGTTTGCTTCCAAGGCAGCCGCACGTCTTGCGATGTTCTTCTGTTCCTTATTGCTTTATTATGTATCCTCTTTTATATGAGAGGTGGCAAGCTCTCATTCGAAAATGGTAAATATTAGCTTACAGTATTTTACGGGCGGTATGCCAATTGTTTTTTCGATTTTCGGCGTCTAAGCGTCCGCCACATTGAACAGATTGAGGGGCTTCATCTTACATCATATTTTCCCTGCGACCATCAACTGATATACGTCTGTACTTTGTGGGTAATTTAATACCACGTTAGCCATTAAATATGATTTATTAAACTTCAACTGCCATTTTTAATTCAAATAAGTCATTCAAACTTGACCTGAAACCCACATACATACCAGGTTCATGTGGTCCACAAGTGATGCACCTTCCGTTCTCATCTCTTAATATTTCACCAGTAATCTCGTCGCACCTGCATTCAAACGGATACACATTAAAATCTTCCTCCAAAAACTAGTTTCAAGTGTGATGTTGTAAATGCGTAGGTTTGTAAGACAATTTGTCTTGTTGCTCGAAAAAAAAACCGGTCAAGTGAACCAGTTCGACTCGAACTAGTTCGCCGAGCGTTCCGTGCCTACCCATTATACTGCCATAATGAAATTGGTAAATAATCACCACCGATTTTCTCAGGAACAGGTGGCAGTAGCAAGTTGAAATTTATACCAGATATTAAGGTCTACAGTCCCTATTAATTGTATAAAAAATAAAGTCCTGAGTCCACACGTTAAAAATATATGGGCAAAATATAAATATAGATTATCAGGAAAACATATAAATTTCATATTGACCGAAAATCGGTGGAGACACACGGACAGACGGACGGACAAGAGAGGGATCTTATAAGGGTTCCTTTTTACCTTTCAAGGTACGGAACCCTAAAAACAGGTTAAGTACATCCAATGAATGAATAGCCGAATTCTGGGAACTCCGAAAGTTTTTCTTTTTTTAAAGAGAAGCTGGTAGAGCAGGCGGTTTTATTTATAAGGACCTAGTGTTGTACATCTACAATTCCAGCACTAGTTAGTCCAACTTTTAAAGAATTGAGCCCGCTATACTTCACTCACCAAACGCAAAAGTATAACATCAGAAGCTCCTAAAAGAGAGAAAGATGACCCCGTGGCGCAGTTGCCAAGGTATTGGCTTCGGCGTCGGGGGTCGCGTGTTCGATTCCCACACGGGACAACTATTTGTGTGACCCACAGATAGCTGTTTTGCAGCACAGAGTGGTAGTCCGCGGGAAATCGATGTTTTTAAAACGTCCTTACAACACAGGATAATATTATCCTAAAGTAAGGGCAATGTTTTTGATAAAACAAAATTAAATTAAAATTAAAATCTATATGACCCTAACAATAAACAGTTTACGTTTTAAATCCACATGTTACGCTACAGTGTCTTTATCAAAATAATAGTTTTCCTTACTTCACAAGCGTTAGTGGATAAATAGATGACACCAGACGACTAAGGAAGCCGATGGCCCCTACCTTCGAATCAAGGTTCACTGAAAAAATGCAAGGACTGATTTTTAACTATGTCCTATATGTTTTTAGGGCAAAAAAATAAAAAAAAACAATAGAAAATACGACTGCCATGTAATAACATATAATTACAGCTTAGTGTTTGTGATATGTTAAAAAAATTACTCGATTTTAAAGTTTTGTATAGTGCTAATCTCTGCACTTATGATTGAGCATTAAAACGCCAAGCATTGCTTCAAATGCTAAATAACAGTGTAGAAAGAAGGCGTTAAGATTTTCGTCGCTGTGGCTATCAGCCGTTTAGCTCAGTGGCTAGAGCGTCATGCCGCGAATGCCGAAGACGTGGGTTCGATTCCAACAGCGGCGACAATCTTTTCGTACTTTTTCTACATGTTTTAAAACTACTCGATGTTGATAAAACATCGTGTATTCTATTCGATGCATCGGAAAATTTCGATGTACTGTCTCGATGCGTCGAAAAAAAACATCGATGTTTCTTCTAAGTGGACACCACTATCCTCGGGCATGAAGTGGTAATTACATTGCCACATACTGAGAGTCTGGGCATCCAGTTACCTAACTCAACACATAAAACAATAAGTCATAAAGGCCGTTACTTCACGCTGACCATCAGTATCGTGATCGGTATACTTCCCCGTTCTAGCTAGCGTATTCGTGCAACGTCAGCTAATTTAATTCTTCCTATTAAATTACTAGCTGCTGCCCGCGACTACGTCTGCGTAGAATACGCTGAAGGCGTAACATTCAGACATAAAGACAGATATACTTAAAACATGTATATAAATTATAGCCTATGTGTTATTCTGATGTATAAGCTATATTACTGTAAAGTTTCATTAGAATCCATTCCGTAGTATTTGCGTGAAAGAGTAACAAACATCCATCCGTACATACAAACTTTCGCGTTTACAACATTAGTAAGGATAAAACAACACAATGATAACCCAAACCCGTGGGCTCTGGCTAGCGCACCGGTTCTGTGTCAGATGAAGCTTTAATAGTCTCGGGACTGAAAGCAAAAACATCAAGATACAAGATACAAGACACAATGATAAAACATACGAGAGAGCGAAAGTAATACTGACCGAGATTACTATTGCCTTCAGTCGCACCGTAAAACTCGAGGACCCTCTCCACGCCGAATCTGTCGACGAACTCTTGCCAGATCTGCGGTCGAAGTCCGTTGCCGACGATCACTTTGACCTTGTGAGCGCGGTCGTTCGGCCCTTTGGGGACGGTGAGCAAGTAACGGCAGATCTCCCCTATATATTGCGCCACCTAAGAAAAAAGATTTTTTTTTTACTTCTGAAAGACCTATCAACAATTGTTAAAACAATATCTGAATAAAAAGAAACAATAAGTACAGTCAAACATCATAACAATAATACAAATTAAGACCATGAATAATAAAATAATAGAAAAAAATGTGGCTTAAAATAAACAGTTACAAAATAAAATAAATAAAAAAGCTTAAATATGTGTACCGTATGTACTACTTAACGTATAGATATTTAAACTATATAAAATGAGTTTGAATTAAAGACTAGCGTCCAGACACTGAGCTATTACGGCTCGACACCTAAGTAAAAATAAAGGTAAAGCATACGAAGTGTTTTTGAGTCCATAAATCCCTGCTGATTAGCGAAAACATTTCGTCGAGAAGTTTTTTACACGAATATGCTCATCTTATTAAAAAATAAGCCTGAAATGTGTACGATTCCTAACTGCCGATTACTGATTAACTTAATTTTTCTAGTTTTTCACATGATGCATAAAAGGGTAAAAATTTATCGGTTCTATTTTAATAAAGTTCATCTGCTTATCCGCGGCTGAAAAGGTGAAAGAAAGAAAGAAAGAAGATAGAAAGAAAATCTCTTTATTTGACATCACTTAACAAAAAAAATACATATTCAAAACATAAACAGAAAAATTGTGACATCAAATAGGAACTCCATTTCAGCAAAATGCTGCTGTTCTATTTGTACTACAGCGCTGATTTGGTGGTGACTCAATGGCCGAGTCTTTCCTCCCTCAAATGCTTATAACTAATCAGAGAGGAAATGCAGCTAGCGTTCTTGGCACCATGCTGCGTGGACTAGGTTTATTACTATGTAATATATATATTTTTTTAATTAATGTTGTAAATATGGAGCTGCATATTGTTGCTCATGCTTGTTTAATAGGACGCGCGCCCATAAACATTTGCTCACTGGATGACATCATTCATTTGGCACGCACCGTACATCCGTGCTTAGCGGCGTCGCTCCAGTAGTTGGAGGCGGAGAACCTCTTCCTCAGGACCACGGTGCAGCCCAGCACCAAACCCTGGCCCGCGCCGAGCACGCCGCCGGCGGTGTGGTGCAGCGGAAGTGGGTCGTACACCACGTCGCTCGACGACAGATGGGCGGAGTTGTGGACCCCAAGCGGAATCAGAAGGTACCTGGGAAATGACGTTAGAAAGAGACGCAATGCTAGATGCATTAAAAAAATCAAAATCATTTATTCATCGACATAAGAAATATTTCATCTATCGATAGTCATTTTTTTTAATCTACCACCGTTTCGTAATGTGGTTCCTCTAGCGGAGAAGAAACAGTCGAAAGAAACTCCGTAGGTATCCTCTTTTTTGTCTTTTTTTATCGTAAAAAAAATTAAAGTATATAGCAAGCAAATATTAGCAAGGATAGTCATAAAGGCAGTTTCTGTAAAAACTTATTACGGCGATAGCTGTTACACAAGTTAAGTAGTATTAACCGTTATAACGGCGGAAAACTACCATTGGAAGATAAACCATTATCTTAATTAATGTGTTCTTTGCTACCCGCCTTTTATAATTGTCACATACAAGGATATTACTTTTATTAACAATGTTAAAGTATTAATGTACATATTATTGTTAATTTACTGTGAATATTAATATAGTTATTATTATGGACCCATGACACTTCCGACAAAACATCCGTACTCATGACCAGGATGCATCAATATAGATGGAACAGGAGAGCTTCTTCGTATATATCAGAATTTATGTAGTCATTTTTTACCACTAAAAAACATACTTCTAAGATAATGTGAAGTCCGCCAATCCGCTGTGGGGCTGCGTGACTACCCCCTTATCCCTTTGTACAGAGGCCTTTGCCCAGCAGTGGGGCATAAATAAGCCGTTACTTTACTTGCTTGCCTCATTCAAAGTAATAGCGGCGAGTTTTAAACGTATTATTTTTTGTTACGTTAACACACTTCCTCTACAGACTTTTTTTAACGTTAAGGAATTGACACTAATCAATTACCTGATATTTGTGATGATAGCGGCTTTGGGAAAACCGGTGGTGCCACTCGTGTAGATGTACATTAGAGTGTCTCTAGGCTTTGCGGGGTCTAAGTCCGTGTAGGGTTCTGTTGACATCTCCGCCAATTCAGTAGCTAGAGGCGCGGTGCTCGGAAGAATGGCGGCGGACGTGCGGTCCGGTGAGTTGAATTGAAACAATGGCATGTCTTGTATCTCGTGCTGTATCTCCTTAATGGCTGAAAGAATTATAACGAATTATCTATGGACCATAAGAAATACTTTCAGCGCGAATAGGGCGGGTCTCTATGTAAAATAAAGAAGCTACAAGTGTAGTAGTTATTTTCACCAATCTTGGTGCACAAACGAATTTCTCCACAGTATAATTGTAGAATTCAATTAAGGGTTCCTTTAGCAACTATTTTCTCACAGAACTTTTAGAAAATTTTAAAGGAGCTCTAATTAACTTACTCACTTATTGTAATGTTTCACCCTTTCCTTACGGTGGTAGGGCCATTCAGCAGCCTCGGCTGTGGCACGAATGGGCAGGCTCATCCGAGTAAGTACCACGACCTCACAGAAGACCGGCGTAAAGTGGAAGTATATTCCTTTCGCGTTTCGTCTGCTGAGTGAGGTGGCCGGAGGCCAATTTTCAAAAGGTTGTCAACGCATCTAGAACCCTCGGCTGTAGCAGATGTCCATGGGCGGCGGGATATTAATTTCCATTACCACAGTTTGATTTTCGAGCTAACAAAAAACTTTTTTCGATAGAGAAAAATTACTAATGAAATAATCAACACGCAGAATTATCTGCTCACTCACAGTTTTCGAGATAAAAATTATTTAAAATTTGTTATTTTCACTACGAAAGTCTGCCATTTTACTAAGTGGACTTCAAAAACTCAATATACAGTACTGCCAATATAATAAATATAGGTAGCGAGTGACGTCATACTCGTATCGATTGTAAAATCGATAATTTTTTTTAAAACAGATCCGACACAGAACACCCCGACTCCATGTGGTCTTGTGGTCCCTACCCCTAGAGTGAACATAAAAAGGCGGAGCCAGAACCTCGCGCTGGAGGTCCTGAGTGGCGCAAGCGGGTGAAGCGACAGTCAAGGGCGACAAAGCGAGTGTTCTGGCGAAGCACGTGGAAGAGTCAAATTTAATAATGAAATAATAATTATTAATTGACTCTTCCACGGCCAGAAATATGAATTTTTTTTTACATTAAACCAAAAATTTAAATTTATGAAAGGTGAATATTTCGTATGTAAAAAGAAAAATCTTTGTAATTTTAATAAAAAATTAAAGAAAAAATCACTATTAATCTTAATTAGATAAGGCTTCTTGATATATAAAAATATGCAATTACGAAAAAACCTTTCAATTTGTGTTAAATAGACTTTAAATTAATTTATACTACTTAAAAAGATTTTGTAAAATTTGTAATCGAGTTCCGAAATCGATATTAGCATATTGGCTGTATTGATATTTGAGTACCTAATCATATATTAAATTTAAAAAGATAAGTATTTCCCGCTCTTTTCAATTTCCTCTTTAATATTTGTATTTGTAATGGTGGATAATATGTGCGCGTCTACTAGCACTAGTGAATTATGTACGTATTGTAATTTATATTTTATTTCTTTTTATAAAACTTTATTAGAATCTCGTTCAGTACTTTTCAATTTTTTTGTGTCGTCGTGGTGTCTTGTAAAAAGTTTTGTTTGTTTAAAGTGTGGACAAGACGTATTTTTGATTTAATATGAAAGTTTTTAAATGTTACAATGTAATAATTAAACTTTGGTAACGAAGAAGCGTCAGTGTTTTTTATTAATGCGACATTACCATTTGGAAAAGTGTGCGACTTCAAACATGTATGTATTTTTAACAAAAAACTTTTAGTAGCTTTATATCTAACATGTTGTGTTAGTGAAAATAACGAGTTTTAAATATTTTTTTTCTCGAAAACTATGCGCAGCCAGATAATTCTACTTGTTGTTTATTTTATAATTGATTTTTCTTTATCGAATAAAATTTTTTTGCACCTGGTAAATCAAACTGTGGTAATGGAAAATTTTACCGGCGGCGGTATTCACTTAACACCAGGTGAACCGCCTGCTCGCTTGGCAACTTTTTACATAAAAAATAAATAAATAAATACTGGATTTAGCGTTCTTACCGTCAGCCATTTCATCACCGAACACGACCGCCTTGCAGCCAGCTATCTTCAGGCAGTGTATCAACTGGGCACCCCTCAGATTGGAGTTGATCAGCGCCGTGGTCACCCTGATCTTAGCCAGGCCCAGCCAGATGAACACGTACTCCGGCTGGGTCTCCATGAAGAGTGCAATCACCTCGCCCGTCTTGAAGCCTCGCCGCTTGAAGTACCACGCAATCTGGTTGCTGAATTCGTCGCCCTAGTTGAAGGGTGAACAGAGACGTACATACCCTCGCCTTATTCAATCCTAACGGAGCAGTGATAGAGAAAACATCTTTATACCGACCATGGAACAGCAGTGGCATCACACTAAAGAATACACTTCCAAAACATCTTCTTCTTCTTTCTTTAATAAATGGCTTATCTTAAAAGAATTCTGCCAACATCATGTCAGTCAAGGGAGTGACGTCAAAACATCTTTATGATAATAAAAAAGAAGAAAAGAAACAGACAAACGTCTTTATGTCATTGTCTTTATTCAGTTACCTTCATTTAGACACTTGAAAAATACGTCTGTTATAACACAAAACTTTTAACATAATAACACCGAATAAAAATATTTTGCAACGCTGATTTTTAAAATGCAATGCCTTAAAATGCAACACTGATTTTCAGTTGGCACGTATGATAATCTTAGATGGTATCTTGAAGAATATGTCTAGCGGAGAAGAAACAGGCGAAAGAAACTCCGTAGGTATCCTCTTTTTTGTAATTCATTTTTTTTTCTTAAAAAAAAAATATTATACAACTGATTTTTTTTCTTGGGAGCGATCAACTCATTCCCAGGGGTTATTGTTATTAATGTATTCCTTTCTATTATAATAACCCTTTTTATAAAGTTTTTCTTTAATAAATTTCTTAAACCTGTTAATAACGGCGGCAGAAATATATCATCTGTGAAAATTTCAACTGTCTAACTATCACGGTCCATGCGACTGGTGACAGACGGACAGAAAAATAGACAGACAGACAGCGGAGTCTTAGTAATAGGGTCCCGTTTTACCCGTTAGTATAGAACCCTAAAAAGGAATATCGTGGATGTTATAATACCCTGAACGATTCCGTAATTTGAAACCCACCTCACGGAACGTCAAGTATCTGTCGCCCATGACGAAAGCCTTTTTGTCCGGCTCCATCTCGGCGACCTCCGCCCACCGCGTGACCACCGTGGTGCCTCGCCGCTCCCACACCCATATCCTGAACATTGTGGCTAGGAGGACCTTCAGGCCGCTGGAATATCACGGCCGAGTGGTTAATAATCGGATAAAATTAACGGATTCAAGGGATTAATTAACTCTTGTTAATCTCTTAACTCTTAATTTTAGATTTTTTAACAAAAAAATTTTTTTTTTACTGTATTTTTTTTCGCCCATTATATTGCATGCTGTCAGCGCCTTTTATTGTAATGACACTAACGAATAGTTGATGTATATTTAATATCCCTAGTCTTAATCTGTGTACATTATGTTGGCGTCTTTAAATAAAATAAATGATAAACAAATGCCTAAAAATAATAGGAAACATTTTTACACAACATTCTCTAGTACCAAACTTGTATTTGTTGTAAACGATTGTACTATGGGGACTAGATAACTGATAAACATACTCAAAAATACTTTTCTTTTATAAATAAATACATATTATACATAAATAAACACTCAGACACTAGAAAAACACTATTCATCACACAATATTTTTCCATTAGTGGGGATCGAACGCAGAAAAAAACCAAAACATTATACCATGATTCACATGTTTTGTCGTCACTCTTGGTGGGATAGATAAAAAAGTAACAAAGATAGATAAAAAGAAACATAAAAGTAGATAAAAAAGTCACATTCATATCCCACTGCTGGGTAAAGACCTCCTTTGTACAGAGGGCATAGCCCACCGACCACGCGAACCCACTGCGGACCCAATTGTCGGACTTCACATATCTTCGAAATACTATTTTTATTTATATTTTATTATTTCTAAAATTTACGGTTTCCTTACGATGGTTTCCTTCGCCGCCGCACATGATAAATTGGTGGGATAAGGGCAGGAGAGAGAATTGAATTATCAAGATCCGAGGAGACATGACTTGAATATAACACCTTCTTTGAAAGGTGGTTTGAAAGGTTGAGAATATATAACACGTTCCTTGAAAGTTTGGGATTAAGGAGCTTGCAGCCAACCGTTAGCCGTCTCCCCTCTGGGAACAATTTACGTGGCTACCAGGCGGGGCCAAGGTCCAAACTGCGATTGTGATGGACGCCTCACGTGGCTCACACACAATAGGGTAATAGGCGAGATCCGGCCCGCACCACTAGCGAGACGCATCCGTAATCGGGGCGGTGTTACGACACCTTTAATTCAGGTGACGGGGTCAGGAAATTGATTTATAGTCTGTAAATTGGCTGCAGTAGCGCGGCGGCCATTTAGAATTTTGTTCGGAAACCCATTTTATTAAATATTGAAAGTTATTACAGGTAGCTGTAATACTTTTTGCATTGTCGTTTCTATAATTTGTTATCACGTCAATAAATTAATAATTGCAGAAGTGCCCTGAATTTCTCACTGCTTTTGGAAGATAAATTATAATATCTTTTGCACATACATATCTGTGTTATATAAAGTCACGAATTAAGGTAATTATTGTATTGATGACATCAGTTCACATCAGTTACTTCTATATCAAACTGCAGAAACAAAAGAGTAGGCATATAAACATTATTATTATTTCGATGGCAATTTAAAACCCAAAATTAAATAAACGTAGCTATTCCTATAATGTAGTGAATTTTCAAATGTTAGATCGACTCCCAAATTGCATTATCGTAAAGCATCAGTCCATATACAGATAAATATTACTAGCAAAAACATTTGAAATGTTCTTCTTACACACAATTCAATGGCTACCTCACCGCACAAATGAGAAACTGTTTGTGACGCGTGCCGAAATTAATTTACAATGCATCGTAAATAATAACTTGAACGTACTTCACGTCCATAAATCCAAAGCGGTACTCAAAGATCGTTATGATTTATTTTAATTATATATTATTCTCTAACACTACAAGTTGCACATCAACAAAGTCGCTGGAATCGAACCTGCGTACTCACCGTGATAATTATTTACACAAATACTGTTTGTACGGTGGCTGGACTATTCACTTTTATCGCAGCAACTAGTAGTTCATTGTGACTCAATAAACACAATGCTCCCGATTGACTATTAGCCGGCCCCTATGACGCCAATTGTATGACATTTGATATACCGGTACCGGGGCCACAGAAAACGGAAACGAGGTCAATGGAGACCGCGGTTAGCAGTAACTTAATAATATTTTGAATTGGTTTCATGCGATATACTGCGATGCAGGTGGCTCAGGATCGTACTTCGTGGCAGTCTATGTGGGAGGCCTATGTTCAGCAGTGGACTCAAACAGGCTGAAATGATGATGATGATGATGATGATGTACTGCTGTTGACAGACTGATAATACTAGATAAAACTTAGTGTAGAGCCGATCGCAAAATTTTCTACGCAACTACAAACAGAGTTCAAGACAAATACATTCGCCTTAATCTTATCTAAGTACTTGATTTACTCGGAGACGTGATAGTTTCCGGGCGCTCGCGTTCAATTCAATACACTCAAGCGACATGAGTGCAAATCCCAGTGCCAGTGGAATCGTTAATTTTAAGTGCTGATTTATCGCGTGCTCAGCTGTGGAGGAAAACATCGCGAGGGATCCTGCATATTTTCTGAGTAATAACAAAAAAAATATTTTATCGATATGTCACGTCCGCCAATCCACAGTTGTGCCCTAATATCCTCTGTATAGAGGAGTACTTTTGCCCAGCATTGGGATATATAGATTGTTACTTTTTTTTTTTCATATCTACTTGTATAGGCGAAGCCACAAACTGGACATTAACAGAGTATAATGTTATGGGCATACCATCTACACTGACAGATTATATTACAACAAACGAAAGGTACTCGACATGTATAATATATAACACGAATGTAGGCCGCTCCCGTCAATTGACTCCGGCTCTGTTCCAAGCGTGTGACAGAATGTATTATTTTAATATCACGTGCACGGCACCGGTTCTGACACCCTCCGTCGTTTAAGAACGTATATCCTGCGTTTAACTAATCCTTACTGGGCATCAACTCTTCGGAGTTCTCTTACGTAATCCGTACAGCGAAACTATAGAACAAAAAGCTAGCCAGCATTATGTTTTACCGTTTGACTCCAAGCAAGAGTCATTGTTCTATTTAATACGTTCACCACCGTGGGATGGCTGTCAAACATTGGCCAATTTTTGTGTAAAAAGGGGTTTTATTCGGGGTAGACTAGGAATTTCAGTCCAGAAGACAACACCACCAAATCAATGTATATGGTTTATCAAAGTTTATTAGTTTAATAGATTAGTTTTAATCGATCGAAGATCACAGCTATTCTTTCCTTTTTTGCGTTCAAACATCATTATTAAGATTTAATTCAAAACATCGTTTTTAATTAAATCTTAGTAAATAAAGAGGGTACTTGAATAAATACTTAATTAATCAATTGCTTCCTTATTTTTAGGAATATCTGTGTTTTAAATATAACATCAACCTCCTGTCATACCTTTCTTCAATAATATCACTTGAAACGTTATTCCCCATGATTTCAATTGCCTTAATAACTGTAATGTATGGATGTGGTAGGGCCAAATAGCAGCTGGGCTCGTCCGGGCAAGAAGAAGACTCGCGTGAAGAAGACGTATTATATACTTCCACGTTTCGACCAAGTGAAGTAACCGGGGCCCACCATTTTTATATTGGAAACGCATCTGCAAGCCGTCAGAGATTTTAGATTGTCCATGGGCGGCTGTAATTACTGAACATCGGGTGAAGAGCCTGCTCGATTTCCAACTTTTAACATTAAAAAAATATAATATACTAAGCACAGTCCCAAGTTGGTGCATTTTTTTTATGTAAAAAAGTTACCAAACGAGCAGGAGGTTCACCTGATGTTCTTTTTTCTTTCTTTCTTTTTTTAATGAAAAACATTGCCCTCACTTTACCCTGCATATTTAACATTATCCTGTGTTGTAAGGACGTTTTAAAACATAAATTGCACGTGGACAAACACCCAGATGCGAAACAACTATCTGTGGGTCGCACAAATAGTTGTCCCGTGTGGGAATCGAACCCACGACCCTCGACGCCGAAGCCGATACCTTGGCAACGGCGCCACGGAGTCATCAATGTTAAGTGGTATATACGCGTACTCCCGTGAGGTCGTGGTATTTACCCGGACGAGAATGCCCATTCGTGCAACAGCCAACGCTGCTGCGTGGCCATACCACCGTCATTCCAGATTACATACAAATACTTACGTCATGTCCCTTTTGTACGTCTTGCTCCATATGTACACCCACTGGTACCGATTTCCCGTCATCAGGTAGACCGCCAGTATCACCAGCAATCCCATCAAAATCGGACAGCCGTACGCCAGGCATGATAAAAGGGTGGAGACCGCGGCTATTGACGACAAAATGACACATTTCTTATTCTCAGCCTCCTCGAAGCGTACTCCAGTCTTTGCTGTCATCCTAGTACTTTTAGCGACTCAGCTGCATAGTGTCCACAAGATTCTAAAACAAAACGCACTGCTACTGTTAGAAGTAAGAAGGACAAAAAAACATTAAAGAATACTTCAGTCTTTGCTGTCAATCTACGAATAGTACTTTTAGCAAGTTTATAGTGTCATAGTGTCCACAAGATTCTAAAACTAAACACACTGCTGTAGTTTGCAGTAAGAATGACGAAAAAAGATTGAAGAATACTCCAGTCTTTGCTGTCAACCTAGTAACTACATTTAGCGAGGTGGCTGCATAGTGACCACAAGATTCTAAAAAAACCGGCCAAGTGCAAGCCGGACTCACGCACGAAAGGTTCCGTACCATTAATCAATCAATCAATCAATCATTTATTTGCCATCTAAGTTTACATTATATAAATAGGTGTTACAATAGAGATGTATACAGAAACTTAGATGCCCTTTCCAGGCACTGCAAATTTTCTAATGGACACCGGATATTATCTAAAAACACGGCAAAAAATCTTGTCTCTCGTATGGGAGCCCCACTTAAATATATTTTTTTTCTGTTTTTTATTTTGGTTGTTATAGCGGCAACAAAAGTAAATCATCTGTGAAAATTTCAGCGTTCTAACTATCACGGTTCATGAAGATATAGCCTAGTGACAGACGTACGGAAGGACAGACAGCGGAGTCTTAGTAATAGGGTCCCGTTTCACCTTTGGGTCCGGAACCCTAACAAACGCACTGGTATAATTTAAATAAAAACGAAATTTATTCAAGAAGTAGTAACTAGTTTCAAATTATGAATAGAAATTTATGATTTATATTAATTACTTATTCCTATTAAGGTATTCAGTGTGCCTTTATTAAATGAGCAGAACGGAAATTAGTATAACATAAGACTTATTAATCTATAGATTTTATATCAAAAATCCGTCTGATTTGTGATCCAATGTGCACATAACGTGAATTAAATCCTGGTAATTCTGGTTAATAGCAGTCCAGCAATTTACCGATCGAATGTGGACAACGTATTTATCTGCAAGACAAGCTGGCCAAGATTGCCAGATAACATCATGCAGTCGTCTTAGTGATAAACTGATTTGAGTGTAACGTATGATAACATTTTCTATGTGACTCCGTTTGTAATTTATTCCGGCGCGGCGGGAAAGGGGTTGCATCCCATGCCAAGAGTGTGTGCGACCTACAGATGATGGTTTGATGTGGTCTCTTGTACTTACGTCGTGTGTGTAAAACGTCCTTAAAATTGGTTACAACATTAACTTATTACAAAGAAAACTCCAATTGGTTAATGTTATATAAGTGACAATCGTATTTTATTTAAAAAAAGTCACTTAAACAAGATACGACTCTGTTAGTGCATGCCACTTAGCTAATTAGTAAAATCAACACTGACATACAAATGTGTTTTATATGATGACTCGCAGTTCATAATGCAATTGAAAAGAGGATTTCTGGAGTGAAATGTTTGCAAGCGATGAATCGTTATAGTTCAAATTACTTTATGATGAATCGTTATTAAAGAATAGTGTAGTGCACATTACTGCTCTAAAACCAACATTCAGTATTGAATTTTTAAAATTCATAGGCTCACAGTTTATGATAACAAATTATATTTAAACAGTTGAAAACTTAGCTCACAACCAATCGTCATAATACAATCTATTTACTAAGAAACATACAATCTACTGATCACATTAAAATTTGACGGGAGAGTCGGAACATACACTACAAGTACTCCTAGTCACTCCTCTTCCTTCTATGCTCATTCTTTTACGGTTTCTGCTATACGTCTTTGGAATTCTCTTCCTTTAGATATTAAACAATCTAAATCTCTTCACATTTTTAAAACTAAATTAAAATGTCATTACCTATCCTTTTGATATACTATCTGTCGTCCATCATATATCTTTTTTTTTCTGTGTATTTACTTTTCTTATTATTTATTTAGTACACCCTACCGCTTTCTTCTTTTAATGAATCCTCTGCCCTAAGGTTGCCTGGAAGAGATCGCTGTTTTAGCGATAAGGCCGCCTGTTGTACCCATGTGTCTTTAGTTTTAAATCCTTTATTTCTATTGGTGTACAATAAAGTACATTTTACTGTTATTTTACTTTACATTTAAACCACCACACAGTTAATACTGTAATACATTGGAAATTAAAGCGATAACAATTGAAATTAGTTGTCAGTCACGCTTCCTTGCTTAAATTTAAGAGTTTTCAATCGATTAATTTAAATTTAATTTGTCTAGATATAAATAAAGGCATGTATAAGTAATGTGAATAATAGATTACGTCCAACAAGCATAAAAATAAAAGTTAACAAAGGAAGGAAGAAGATTTCGAATGTGTCGAGCATTCGAAACCTTCTTCCTTCCTTCCTTCTTCCTTCTATGTGGACAGGACACAATCGGTCGTTTGGAGTTTGTGTGTCAATAAAAGAGCTAGCTTCGGCTCATAATTAAACGTCATTAAGTAGTGAAGGTCTTCGTTTCGACGGCACTGTTATCTCAAGAACAAAGCAGGAGCGCCCGCAATGAATAATGCAAAGTCAAGTTCACGACATTTAAAGCAGCGTTGACCGATTACGATGGATAGCGCACAAAGAGTTAGCACGTTGCACCGTTATCTCTTCCCTAAGAGCACTAACCGTTGTTGTTTGACGCTGCGTTATAAATAACTAGCGACACGCCCCGGCTTCGCGCGGGTGCAATGTATTATACATATAAACCTTCGTCTTGAATCACTCTATCTAGTACAAAAAACCGCATCAAGATCCGTTATGTAGTTTAGCATACAGAGAGACAGACAGACAGCGGAACGACCGTATTTTATACTATGTATTGATACAAACAATTTTTTTACGGTGATGAAAATCGGTTTCACAAAAATTTTAAGAGAAGACGGCAAATGAGCAAGCGGCTCACTAAATGTAAGGCCGTCGCGTATCATTTCAGACCGTTTTAGTCCACTGCTGGACAAAGACTTCCACAGACTGCCACCAGGCAAGATCCTGAGCCGCCTGCATCCGTCATGGTCATTAGCAGTGGGTGCAATAGTTACTATTATAATATATTTTAGTATTTTAATTTTAGTATATAAATTTTATTATAAAAAAAAAACAGCCGAATTGAAAACCTCCTCTGTTTTTGAAGTCGGTTAAAAAGACAATAGTCAGCATGGTAAAGACCCACACGCGAAAGCCATTGACAGCCATTTGACAGCTGATTAGTTAATATCTACGATGATCAGTGTTTCAGAAACCGGGCATAAGTAAATCAAATCGTGGGTTCAATTCCTGTTAGAGAAATAAAATTTTTTACCATTTTATTTACACTCTTCAAGGTTGGAAGAATGGGAGGGTCACGAATTGGCAGAAAAGTGTTACACTGCTGCGATTCATCTGGTGATTGCGGTGTTCGGAGCCAACTTAGTTCAAAAGTGGCAATGTATTTGAAAGTGTACGGTGTTGCAAATGTCCATATGCGATGGTTCTTACATAATATCACGTGAACCACCTCGCTTGCCACCTTCTCGCATAAAAAAATATATAAAAGACAACACTCTCTCTCCCTCTCTATTGCCAAAGGTTATAGATATTATACGATACATATACGATACTTATTTTTATAAAGGAAAGTGATCGTTTCTTTAATTGTTCTTTGAAAGAAACATGCAGTTAACGCTTCATTAGCTTTATATAGAGAATTATATTTACAAAAACAGTAAGATTAGTTGTGAATTAACAGCTCAGGTTTAACAAGTAGAACATAATTTAAAAAAACTAAAAAACCCGACTGCGTTTCTGTGTAAATTTCTATTTTGATATACCCGGTGTCACTCTCATAGTAAATACGAATCTAACAACACCTCTCAAGCTAAAATCCATCAAGCCATTAAGGCTGCAGAGCGTGCCAAAGAATCATACATACATACATACTCTCGAAAAACATAACCCTCCTTCTGACGCAGTCGGGTAAATACCTATTAACTGCGCCTAGATTCAGCCGGAATCAACATTACCGTTGGAGGCTGTTTCAGCCTACGATAATAGAGTCGCTCCCCCTTCACTTGAACGTAAAAAAATTCACGAAGCAGTCAAAAGATGAACCTTTCAATTAAATAAAATAAAAATATCACTCCAAACAAACATAAACACTAACATAACTCAACGTTAAATCAGTTACAGTTGATTATAAAACGTTTAATACGATATGTTTACCATACATGTGTTCTACATTTATGTAGAGACATATATTACATATTAAAAGTATTGTATTAGAACCACACCGGTCAAATTAGATGACTTGAATTTAGGTGATTAAAAAAAAGGTAAATCATTAGTTCAAGCTGTAAGCTGTTCACGCTGCTGATTTAATAATAACGTAGTAATAATAAGGTAGCTCAAATGGATCATAAAACATACCTTATACAACCAGCTCTGGTGCAGTTTAGTTCGCGTGAACAGCGTGAAGTGAAAACAACAAAATACCAAACAACAACCAGTTTCTCGGTCGCAGTATAAACACGAAATGAAATTGAATACAGTTTTGTCGATCGCCGAGTAGGGATGGACTTGCTTACTAAGTATCGATATAGTAACATAGTTATTTTTTTTAGTTCGGTGACTTGTTTCAAATTTGATGGGTACGTAATTGTTTATGAATTACGTAAATATCTATCACACGTATCAATGGTATTGAAAAAATGATAAATGGTACATTGAACATTTTTAAGGTAAATTAAATAATAGTGAAAGAAGATTTATTTAATTTTTTTTAAGTATTAAAGGCGAAACCAAAGGCAAAGTGAAACAAAAATCTGGTGCTTACAACTGGATTCGAAAGTGCAACTTCGCATCGTGGATTGACTACCGCGGCCACGGCCACGCAACTCCAACCTTCAGTAATATAATATCTGTATTTCTTATTATTTAAGTTCATGAAAAATAATATTTCCAGTCAAAATCCAGGTCATCTTTACGGTTCCTTACCCAAAAGGTAAAACGGGGCTCTATTACTAAAACTCCGCTGTCTGTCCATCTGTCACCAGGCTGTATTTCAGCAACCATGATAGTTAGACAGTTGAAATTTTCACACATGATAACAAATACTAAAAACAGAATGAAAAATTATGTGGTGCTCCCATACAACGGACAAGATTTTTTGCCGTTTTTATAGATAACGGTACGGAACCCTTCTTGCGGGAACCGACCCGAGCTTGGCCGTTTTTTTTTTTTTTATTAAATTAAGGATTTAGGAAGGAGCAATTACGAAGAACAAAGTCATCGCTAAGCAAATAACTAAGCATTTTAACTTATCCAAATAAAAACCACGATGAAATTTGAAAATTCAGTGGGTTGGTGTCAACGATAATTTGCGTCTATGCACATCACTAGTTGTACTTTGTCCCCACTCACATCTTCATTCATGAACGCTTGTTTCGCCTCCTCTACTATGGTGTCGCTTGCGCATCAAACGTGCCAATCAAATAAGCACTTTAACTTCTTCTATTTAGGTTGGTTTTTATAAAACTGAGTGTTAGTTTGTTGAAATAGAGTATGAGCCCCTTGTAAAATTGATCGCTTTATTATCGTAAAGAGGTATCTTTTCCAATAGCAATGCATCGTATGAGTAAATGACCGTGTCCGTTCTCCTTGCACGGATATTAAATAAATGCTATATTCATGTTTATTAATAGCGGATACGTGAATATTTCTTAGGGTCACTACTATACAATGGGTTATCATAGGTCACCATGAAACATAATAGGTCAATGTTTATTAGCCTTTATAGGTAGGAAAGTATTATATCGACTATTCTCATTTTTCAACCTAATGTGAAATTTTTCAGCTCTAACCAATTAATAGTTTTAGAGAAATATAGTTGTAAATTAATAAATATTGACCGCCACGTCTATTTTAATGAATTTTTACATCTCCATCATGTTCAAAATTTTGCATGTAAATAAATTAAGGGTGTTCATTCAGTTGATTGCTAAGAAATTGCTAGTAGACATAAATGTTTATCTGGGTCGATAAAATTTGTCTGACTTTCTCTTTAAAAATTAATTTAAAATCCATTTTATTAGTGTTCCCTACCCAAAGGCCATCAACCAACTCAAAGGGGACCCTATAACACAAATTATTTGACGTTTTTATAGGTACGGAACCATTCGTGCGCGACTTTCACTTAACCATGCTATATTACAAGTGCTATAAACTTTGCTATACTGTCAAATCTAATACAACAAAGGTAAATAAATTTAGGATTGCTACCTTTTAATTTAGGGTAATCACTAATATATTAATTATTTTACTGAAGAAAGGCGCGGGGTGCTTGGATTCAATAGTTATAATATTTTAATGACAGTATTTTAAGTATACTGGTAAAAGTAGTCATAGCGAAATATAAAAGCAGCCCACGCTATTCTTCAATATTTTTTTTATTAACTACACTATTTATTATTAAAATTTATTGATTATTATTTGCTACTTTTTAGTTGGGTTATCTACAAAAGCGTGTCTTTTACCTTTTTTTTTTTTTAACTATTCTATATTTTCCATTTTTTAGTTCGGCCAAGTATAAAAGCACGCTTTTTTATTTTTTAAATGCGCACTTGGCAAAAGGACACTACCAGGTATCGCATTTGGAAAATAGCTAAAAGTCCTGAAAGTCCTGATCAGGGTAATAGGAAAACTATTTAAATTATTGCATCGTCATGGGTTTTTGGCAAGTGTGAAAAGTTTGATTCCAATCTGATCGTTCAAAGTGGGGCAAAATCACGTTTAAACATTCCGTTACATTACAAAGCGTGTAAAAAAACAGATTAAATCCGTAAAATTAGTTTCATTTATAAACAGATTAGAAAATTTTAGGAAATCACAATTTTAGATTCAACATCAAAATGGGTTTTATTATTATATGTGTCTCAACTTGACTTTATATAATACTATGACGTTTTATAGATAATTTCTGAACACTTTATCAATTATGTTCCATATTTTACATAGTGTCGATACGGGTACAGCCAAGCCCTACTAATAGTCCTAAAATGAAAATAATTAGGTTAATTGTTCAGCCTACTTTCGTGCTTTCATGTAAAAATGTTAAGCTAACAGTTTGTAACATATCTTACAGTTTGCAAAAATGTTCCGTCTTATAAATATAATAATAATACAATAGTTCTTCTATTGTATTTTCGTTTCAAGTACAAATGCCCTACTACAATATTTGTGGATTTGCACATCTTACACGAATCAACAAATAATAAATATAATATGAAACTGAAATCGCTTTAAAGTCAGATTTATTTTTTTCTAAATAACATAAATAATTGTATAATATTGTACAAAATTGTAGGTACAGCATTTAAATGAGAATACGTAAATGAAGAAATGAATTGAGCATGGTAAATTCTGCAAACACTGAGTAACTCGGTTATTAACCAGCAAATCCTAAGCCTAGCATTATTTATTAATAAAACTATTTCACCGATTCTATCACTTATCCTTATTTAAATACACAACGTTTCAATCACCCTCGAGACAATATATCAACTAATACCGCCATAAATCTATATTTATTTTTTATTTTATTAAAAAGCGTTTTTCCACATAATTCAAAATAACACTCCTTAACATAACTTAACCAAACTTATATTTAAAAAGGTTAACCGTAAAAGAGTATTAATTTAAAATAAATTACAATGGTTAATATTCCAACGTAGAAAATACTTTATCTTGCCATCAGCAGTGCCAAAATATCAATTCATTAAAGAACTTCGGCTCGTAACGTCTACGTTAACAAAGCACGTACACACTATGCTACTATTCTTTTGTGATATTTTTTTAATTTTTTAAAAACAAATGTGCAGTAATCGTTTCGAAAATCACTGAAACACATACAAGTAATAATTAAATGAGTTCATGATAAATTACTCAAAGAAGACCGGCGTAAAGTGGAAGTATAACACTTTCGCGTTTCGTCTGAAGAGTGAGGTGGCCGGAGCCCAATTTTCAGAAGGTTGTCAACGCATCTGCAAACCCTCGGGTGCAGCAGATGTCCATGGGCGGTGGTATTCACTTAACACCAGATGAACCTGCACACTTGGCAACTTTTCACATAAAAAAGTAAGAACAACGATATGAATGTCAGCATGCGATTTTCTGTTCTTTCTTCTTGACCAGTATCGTCTGAATGACGTCGACGGGCAGTCCTTTCGTCTCCGGTAGGAAGAAGAAGGAGAATAGGGTAGAGGCAAAGCAGACGCCGGCGAAGATGTAGAACACGGGACCGAGGCCGATAGCAGACACGAGGGGCGTGAAGATGTAAAGAATGACAAAGTTACACATCCAGGCCCACTCCATCGACAGCATTGACACTAAGCTCTTGATCTGGAAAAAGACAGATTCATTGAAGAAAATATACAAACAGCAATAAAAAAGTGAAAAAAGTAAAGTATCCGCCTATACATGTCCCACTGCTGGGCAAAGGCCTCCTCTGTACAAAGGCTATCAGGGCATAGTCCACCATGCGGCCCCACTACAGATTAGCGGACTTCACATATCTTCAAAATATTTTTTTTTATTAATATTACGAAAATATGCAGGTTTCCTCACGATGTTTACCTTCACCGCTAGACCAATAAACCTGGTCTAAAAAGACCGAAATAGCGAACATTAGCGATAATGATCTATTTTAACGTTTATCAAGCATATTGTGAGGTGCATGAACAAATATGACCTTAATACAACATACAAATATGACAAATACGATCTTTGATAATCCGACCTTCACAGTTAAAAAATCCTTAATAGGAAACGGCGAAAACTATCAATTCTAAAGCATAACCTAGGAAATACTAAACTGTAAAAAGATATTTTTACAGCAAGAGGATCCCATTTGTAAATGTATCCAGATCATTAGCTTTCTATATATCTAATTTCTATTGAAACCATTGGGGTACAACAGTGTCAAAAGAGAGAAAACAAACTAATAGGTTGATGAGCCCGTAACTGTTTACCATCATCATTGATCCATGAAAGTCCATTGCGGGACTTGGTTCTTGCTCTACATTTGACTACCGGTGGAGCTGGAGGATTATGTTTAACGTCTGCTGTGCAGAGTAGTGGCGGATTTACAAATTGGCCGCCAATAGGCTGTTCAATTTTTATCGCCCCTACTGACTTTTGAAATTCGATACCCTAGTCCGCAATCATATTAATTACATTTATTCTGTCAATAAAATTATGGTTTGTGCTCTTTAGCCTTCATTACATCAGTTTGTTAAACTTTTTGATTTGTGCTCTATCGTCTTCATTACATTATATGTATACAATGATGTTTTTCTTTTTTTCTGTAAGGCAAAATTTTTTGGGCAAAAATTTGCCGCCCCCAAAAATCTGCCACCTTAGGCTCCAGCCTACTTAGGCTGCTGATAAATCCGCCACTGGTGCAGAGTCCCAAAACTGTAGTTTATTTTGTACCCCCTTATTTAAGGGTGCAAAATTAATAGTAATCTATGCTCTTTAACCGCATGGATTCACATATGATCAACAATTCATAATTATGGTAATCAAGGCAATGAGAATGTACAGGATATCGACAAACTTTTTTCTACCCGTATTGCTCTATGAATTTGCTATGCTTAATTTCATATGGTAATTGCAATTAACAGGTTTTAATGAGGTAGGACAGAGGACCAGAGCCGTGAATATGATCCAGAAGTGTAGCAAGCTGACGTGGCAGTGGGCCGACCACATCTGTTGTACAACCAATGAGCATTAGAGTAGATTGTTTTTTTTTTTTTTTTCTATGTAACAAATATAGTACCGGTTGAATAAATCAAGTTCATGCAATAATGCTTCACGTCATTTCGAATGCCTTGCAATAATCATTGTCAAAAGATAGAGTCAATTAAACCTGGATATAAGGACATCTAAAGTAAATCTACTATTGATAACCAAGGTACCTCGGGTAGAAACACCTCCGCTGCGAACACGTAAGGCACTGTACCAGCGCCGAATATGTACGTTATGCAGAACAGGTAGATGAAGACCGTGGTTATCCAGTGCGAGCCCCAATGCAGATGGATCTGGGTGCCAAGTACCAAGCAACACACTCCCGCACCAAGCGACGAATAGATCATTAGAGGCTGAAAGAGATTCAAATGTTCACGATAAGTTTATGATGACTTGGTGGCGCAGTTGCTAAGCTATTGGCTTGGGGTGGGGGGACGTGGGTTTGATTCCCACACGGGACAAGTATTTGTGTGACCCACAGATAATTATTCTGAATTCGGGTGTTTGTTCCCAAGTAGGGTCCCTTACAATATGTTCTCATGCTGTGAACCCTCATATTACCCAGCTGGGATTAAGAGCAGGAGGATGATGATGACGGTAAGTTTGTATCGGAGAGTAAAGGTTTGAAAATCATCCGATAAATCTAATAGCACCACACAATTCTTTACACTCTGAGTGAAGTTTTTTCATAAGACTAGCCAATATCACTATCTATCTTACTAATCATTATCACTACCTTAGTACGTGATTAATGACGGCGGTAGAAGATCGTAAACAGCAGGCATATTTGACGTTAAGTGATTTTGAGCACATAGACAGGAAATCACAATAATGCTAGGTTACTGGGTGTAGAAAAGTAAAATAACAGCCTATCCCACTGCTGAGCAAAAGACTCCTCTGTACACGGGTTATTAGAGCATAGTCCACCACGCGACCTCACTGCAGATTAGACATCATCGAATCTTATACTTATTACTTTACACATCATCGAATTTTTTTTTATGTTATTCTTAAATATGCAGGTTTAGTCAAGATATTTTCCTTCACTGCCGAGCACATGATAAGTCAGCACTTAAAATTAACGATTTCATTGGTGCCGGCACCGGGAAGCGAATTCAGGTTGCTCGAATATATTTAATTAAAAACGAGCACTCGGACAATAATCTATCACGGCTCATAATACGAATATATATGCAGTCTACCAATCTGCAGTGGGGTCACTGGTGGATTTTGCCCTAATACCCTCTGAGGCCTATGGCCAATAGTGGAACAAACATAGGCTGTTATTTTACTTGACTTTTATAGTGTTACTTTACTCTTAAACGACTCTTTATTTTTTTTGGGCTTGATGAGCCACTGTTGGCCTTAGGGGCCTTTACAGACCCGACGGACTTGAGGTGGCCTGGCGCGCGGGGCGTCTAGCCTGAGCCTCGGCGTATTATTATTACGCATTATGGTGACTAAGTTCGAGGGCTCCCGGGGGAGCCTCGGCTCGGGCCGTCGCGCTTTTATAATCACCGATTTGGGAGGCCACCGAGCTCTTAGAGCGCTTTGGCGGGCGCTCCTTGGAGTGATCAGGCTCAAGGGTCCCCGAGACGGGACCTCCGCTTGGGCTGTCACCCAAAACGAGTTTAGCATTCCGATTAGAGGGTGCCCGAGAGGGCCGAACCTCGGCTCGGTCGGTAGCTATTATCTGACTGGGAATTATCTGACTGGACGATTCTTACACGTCTTCCGGCAATATCCATCAAATAAGCGGTGAAACAACTCGTGACCACCGTAAGTACTGCCAACACGACGCAAGAAACTGTCGAAGGTATATGCGGGAGGGCCTCCTCGAAGACTAGATCGGCGTATACCTGCACAGCCACCAGACCTTGGAACATCGTGGCGGTGTACAGCGTCACAGCCACAAATAGCGCCCGTCTAGTGGAGCGGGACTTTTCTATAACAAACAGAACTCATGCAGAACAAAACGAGGCAATAAGCAATGTAAATAACACAAACATGAAAGAGTTAGCGTCGCTTCACGCGTAACAAATTTAACAAAGCATTAAAAAGTTATCAGCAAATGTTCTCAGTATTATTTGCACGTAGCCTTAGTTGAATCATGTTTACAACTCTTTGAAAGTTATAATCAGTAAAGATTTTTATTACTGTAGCGTAAATCGACAAAGAATTCGCTTCCTTTTAGTTTACTTACGCTTTTGACTGTCAATAATTTAACTTAATATGGTGTTATAAAAATGTATGTAAGGACAGATCTGCTTTTAATACTAGAACGATTTAATGAGAAAAACATTTACTATAACGGAATATCAATCTTTTAATACTTACTAAGAAATGACCACTTCGAAATCTTTTGCTCCTTCTTAATTTCTGCTTTCAACGGTTCTCCCTCTGACGTCATATCTATGTACATAAAATTATAACAGTGTTTAATAATTAGTAATGCGTTTGACAGCAAAGGTAATCAATTAAAACAAAGACAACACAGTACAAGAACAAAATTCAGAATACTGTCTAAACACATCCTATTAAAAAATATCATATGTCATACGAGATATATTTGCAATTTTTAACATTGCTAATGCTGTGTGTGATACTTAACCAATACTGACACTATATTTCTCCCGCAAAAGTACTTATAATTAACATTTAATGGTGAAACCATTTCAATTTTAATATTTGCTCATGGGTGCCTTAAAAGCAGATCCGTGGAGGATTATTCGTAATTGTAGGTAATGATAGACCCTTTAGATTGAGCCAAAAATATCACTTATAATAAACGACGGACTTCTTTTTTAATTTGAGAAGGTTGCAAGGGAGCTGGCGATGTACCTAATGTTAAGGGATAATCTCAGTCACTAGACGAAACGCAGAAAATTACACTTCCACTTCACGCCGGTCTTCTGTGCGTCCGTGGCACTTACCCGGACGGACCTGCCCATTCGTGCAACAGCCGAAGCTGTTGCGTGGCCCTACCACAGTTCCAATCCAATCAGCCTTTTGCAGTCCACTGCTGGACATAGGCCTCCCCAAGAGTACGCCACAGAGTACGATCATCCGCTTTCCTCATCCAGTCACTACCAGTGACCTTCGGTCCACCTGGCAGGGGGACGTCTGACACTACGTTTTCCGAGACGTGATCTCCATTCGAGAACCCGTCTGCTACAGGGCTCTCCGTCCTCTCCCGAAATTATTCGGCAAAGGAACAAAGTTGTCGATATAGTCCGTAAGTGTAGCAAGCTGAAGTGGCAGTGGGCTGGCCACATCTGTCGTAGAACCGATGAGTGCTACCACAGTTAAACGTGCCTAATTGATATTGCAAAAAATATCTAATAAATAGAGGCTATTTATCAAAGTATTTTTGAAACACGACGCACCCTCTAGTACCGGGTTCAGAGCTCTTTTTATTGCAATTATTTCTTGCGTCACTTCATTTGAGCTTTTCTTCACTCGTCGATAGAACGCCACAGTTTCTACAGCATCCTAAAATGTATAACTGCAAAATGTATACTTGTATTTAGACTCGCTATATACTACTGTTAAATTGAACTTTTGTTGATAATTTATTTACGTTATGTTACGAGTAGTCACAGTACTTAAGTGTTACAAAGAAATGTTAACATTAAATACTGACATAATGTACTACGTAGTAGTTTTCCCAAATACACACTGCGCACATTTTCGGGCAGTTGTCATCAAAACACAACTTCTATCATCATATCATCAAACATCTATCCATACACAAAAAAAGAATAATTTTTAATTAAGGACTCACTGTCAAGCATCATGTGCCCTAAAACCTTCAAAATGCTTAACTTATCCTTTCCAATGAATATGCCCAGCTGTAGTAGCTGCCCTTGAAATATCAACAAAAATTATTCAAAATATCCATAATAAGTCATCAGGACCTGGAGTCCTGATTTATTATATTTTTGTTTAAGTCTTTGTAGGTTTACCTTCTCCAGACCTTTCCTCATCAAATGCAACGGTGACTCTTTCAGTGGCCACAGCATCACGACTCCAATCACTGACATCGTGAGGCAGACGTATATCATCGTCTCGTACTCCAGACAGCCTCCTAACAGATACGAGACGAGTATCCCGAGACCGTATGATACAACCGAACCAGATGTCATCATTCCGCGCACAGACTCCTCGCAGAACTCGCTGACGAAGACTGGAGCAAGAAGCAGAATGCATCCACCAAATCCTGATATGAACATTGCAGCGAGGACCGCTTCCACCCTGTGGCTTAAGGATACTATAAGCCAAGCCACCTGAAACACAAGCGCATTCGTTATCCCGCGCACGGGACATTCATATGGTGTAAAATTTGTTAAGAAAGAAATAATATTTATTTATGTCAAGGTTTGAAAATTCCAAATAACGCGGATATAGTCATTTGTATTGTGTGTTAGAAAATTACCGGATTTTATTTCGAAAGCGGTATTGATTTTTTGGTATTCATTCATCTGTTATGACTCATATTCATTTCATATCATATTCATTTCCACGCAGCAGCCTCGGCTGTTGCACGAATGGGCAGGCTCGTCCGTCTAAGTACCACGACCGCACAAAAGACAGGCGTAAAGTGGAAGTATGACAAATACTTTAGCGTTTCGTCTTGTGACTGAGGTAGCCGGAGCCCAATTTCCAAAAAGGTTGTCAACTCACCTGCAAACCCTCGGGTTTAGCAGAAGTCTATGGGCGGCGGTATTCACTTAACATCAGGTGAACCGTCTGCTCGTTTGGCAACTTTTCACATAAAAAAATAAAAATAAAAAACACACATAACTATATTCAGGAAATGTTATTGTTCGTTACAGATTTCCACTTTTCTAATAACAGATTATTCATCTTTTATGACTCGTATACATGTATAATATAATACACATAAATTTATCGCTATACAGAAAATTATTGTTGTTTTTTTATGTGAAAAGGTGCCAAGCGAGCACGCGTTTTACCTCATGTTAAGTGAATACCCCGCCCATGGACATCTGCTACACCCGAGGTTTGCAGATGTTTTTACAACTTTTACAACTGTTACAACCTTTTGAAAATTGGGCTCCAGCCACCTCACTCACCACACGAGACGCGAAAGTATTATACTTCCAATTTACGCCGGTCTTCTGTGAGGTCGTGGCACTTACCCGGAGGAGCCTGCCCATTCGTGCAACAGCCGAGGCTGCTGCGTCCAATTTTTTAATAACAGATTGTCGTTCGCCAAGAACGACTGTGGTGGAGCCTCTGCCGTGATGTACACACTCCAGTCATAACAACTTATTAATTTCCTCCACTAAAAATGTCAACGAACCACTTGTGGCAAGGAGTACAAAATGCATGTATTCTTCCTCCCCACTTTGTCCAGTAGCAACCCTGAGAAGGCGTGGTGAAGACCGCGCTGATCGAAGAGAAGCTCCCGAACAACGCTATTTCATTCTCATCCATTGGACGGTTGAGTGTCGTGTTGGCCGAAGCGAATAGTTTTATCGTTGACGACGGCCAGGCGTACATCAAGGCCATTGTCAGGCAAGAATAGCACACTGAAAAATAATTAAACAAATAATAATATTTGAATGTATGCATAATTTTTACCGTTGTGTTAAAATTACGTAGTATTCATTTCTCGTGTTTACGCGAATACTGTTTACGCTTATAAGGAGATATTTTACGGATTGTGTTCGAAACGTCAGGATTTTTAAATCACGGGAAACGTGAACACACAACACAAACATGATGATGAATATTATAAATGATTTATATTTAAAATAATAATCTAATTTAACAACATTATCGAGACCCAATATTCTTCGCATCATATTTTCCAGTAGAGCGGATTGAACCCAAAACATCTGGTACAACGTTCAATATTCGAAGAAGTGGCTTTGATAGATTCGTCAAAATGAAAAATTGTAAACCCGACTCAAACTTCAGCAGTTAATAGACCACACACACAAATATGTACACAGTAGGGTTCGAATTTGCACTGCTAAGTATAACGTATTTAATGGCTATGGGGTTCTTAATATTATAAGCACCATAAATAATAAATAAATAAAACCGTTTAAAAACTTTTAAGTTAAACGGTTTTATTTTCTGTTTTTTTTTTTTGTGCACTGAAAACTACAATATTGTATTGTCATCTAAATTAAACGTGTGTACCAAATTTCAGATCAATCTGACAACGGGAAGGTACTTAAATTTCAATTTCTAATTTTGACCCAAATAAACAAACAAATTCCGTACGGGTCGAGCTAAATAAAACCGTTTAATAAATAAATAAATATTTTAGGACACATTTTTTTTACACAACGTTCTCTAGTCACAAACTAAGCAATGCTTGCACTCTGTTTACTAGAAAACTGATAGGCATACATACTTTTCTTTTGTAAATAAATACACATTATACATATATAAATACCCAGACACTAGAAAGACACTATGTTCATCACACAATATTTTTCGAGTAGTGGGGATCGAACCCACACCTGACGCAGAAGGCATGTACACTACCGACTACGCCATTCGGGTCGTCAAAAATTCTAATGTAATAAGTAATTTCGCCCGATACGTAAACTGTTTAAAGATATAGCAACACTCACCAATTACGGTACATGCAGCTTGGTGAAAAATAGACATTTTCTAAAAATACAGAGGTTTTTCCTCCGTCCCAAAATGTGTCTGTCTTCTGATGTGTAAATTCTGATGTGTCCGTCTTGAACAGAACTAAATGCTTCATCAGGTTTATCAATGAGATACCTACAACAAACATGAACCGCAAGCAAATAACAACCAGCGATTAAATAAGATTCAAAGGATTATGATATTAAGAATCCAACTTAGATTTCTAATAAAAAAAATACTGTAATGTCTGGACTCTAGAAGGTGAACTCATCTTAGATAAAAATACCCATTTTTCTGCTCTTTGCCATATATAAAAAAATCAATCTGCGAATAAATATATAATTGGCTACTTAGAACTAAGTATGGATATGCATCCTCTCTTAACTGGTCAAAAGCAGGTACGGTGTCTTTCGTATGAGGCATCCTCTATTGTCCTCTTAATAATAAAAACTGAATCTTTTTATAATTTAATAGTCACCCAAGACAAAATCTAAATTATCTTATTAGTCGGTTTTACTTACATAATTTTTTCATTATCTTTATGAAGAAAACTGATAGTGACAAATTTTGTACATCCCACTTTTGACATTTGTACAGTTAGTTTTTATGGTAAGATGTTGGCCTAAACAGTGAAAGCTTTTTTGAACAAGTCTGCTTCTAACCATTTGCACCTTCTAACAAACTTTGTCCTTACTCACATTTTACACAGCTATTTGTTTTGTTCCTACTATTATAATGTTTCGCTCATTTATAATTAATGACTCTTATCGCTCTATACTGTATTAATTGTACTGCCTTAAACGTCACATAATTCTTCAACTAGTGCAGTTTTGACAAAGGTTCACGCCATGTCTAGCGGTTTATTGGTCCTTTTGTTTTTCTCACGCTTGATAAAATATTCAATAGGAAAAAATGTTTCATTCGTTTGATTATGTTACAGGACGGTTATAAAATTGCCGTTGTTTTTAAAAACGTACGTTCCAAAATAAATTTTTGTTCCAGGCTGGTGTTTAGAGAAAAAAACTGTGATAGAGCCACGCAGCAGCCTCGACTGTTGCACGAATGGGCAGGCTCGTCCGGGTAAGTACCACGACCTCACAGAAGATCGGCGTAAAGTGGAAGTATAACTTTCGCGTTTCGTCTGGTGAGTGAGGTCGCCGGAACCCAATTTTCAAAAGGTTGTCAACGCATCTGCAACTCTCGGGTATAGCAGATGTCCATGGGCGGCGGTATTCACTTAACATCAGGTGAATCGTCTGCTCGTTTGGCAACTTATCACATAAAAAAAATCAATTTTACAATTACAATAAAATAATAATAAGACTGAAAAAGGATATAAATAATAAAAATAATAAAATTATGCGCCATCTACATTCTTTATTGAGAACTGTAACTGGCGAATGTGATTGAGTATATGCTGCCATCTATAAATAAAATAAGCGGCTTAACGAGCAGCTTCAAAACTTTTGTATTACAGTGACGCGCACGCATCTTAAAATTTCACTCTCACACAGATCGGGTGGTACCATTCAATGTGGTGTATGTGTAATACGGTGGTGTATGACGTGGATCCTTAAAATATCAACATACATTTTTAATAAAACAAGTAATAAGCACTACTTTTTATTTATTATTTATACTTAATATTTACAAGTAATAATTATTCTATCATATTTATCAGTATCAATTCAAATTTTAGTATAATGGCTCCATCAGGGAATAACTTGATGATTCTGCCAATGTCAAGGTTGAATAAAACAGTTAGTAAAGAATGAGATTCTGCCAATTAGCCGTTAGCCGGCCGGTAATATTGGACTTTGTACGGTAGGTAGACTATTACGCGCATCCAGTTGAGTTACCTGAACAGAGGACAAACAATGGATTAGTGTATGAATAATTTGATATAATAAATTAGAACAGCTAAATGTTAAGGAGAATACATAGAACACATAATTAAGACAACAATACAATAGGGGAAAAATATAAGAAGTTATAGTCTTATGTTATTTAAACGGATAAATTTATCTAGGACTTTAATAAAAAGGGATTCAGTGAGGGTTAGAAGGAATGGAATATTGACAGGCCTGGGAAAATTATAAGGTAGGATATCATAAAGAGGAACTGTAAGATTTTGACAGGAAAAAAATAAATGTTCTAATGTGCCCTCTGCCAAGCCACATTGGCAAAGTGAGTGGTCACGTATATGCAGTTTAGCTAAAAACACTGGGGAGCAAACATGTCCTAAGCGAAGGCGTATTATAATAGAGGTGACAATTTTATTTAAGGACCTAAATTTAAAAAACCAAGGTCGAGACAGTATATTGGGCTGAATCTTTGCATAATATTTCCCTTTTACAGTATTGGACTGTTTCCAGAAATTGTCCCACGTTTTCATTAGTCGCGGTTTGGCCAAGGAGCATAGGTCACGGGAAGGGATACTCGAATGACTTGTGTCACCTATATGTACAGCCTGTTTGGCATAAAAATCAGCAGCTTCGTTCCCCAAGATACCCATGTGTCCTGGGATCCAAGCTAAGACAATCTCAATACCTGCTTTTGCCAAATTATACAAAATTTCTTTTATTTTCAGGATGATTGGGGATTGATGTTTACGATGAAAGGGGAGTTTCCTTAGGTCCTCTAAACAGCTTCGTGAATCGCTTAGAATTAAAGAGTTGCAAAAATGAATTCGATTAGCATCTATATATTTTACTGCTTCTAAAATAGCAATAGATTCACCCGTATAGACGGAGCATTCTGAAGGGCATTTAAAGGACAAAACAACATTATACTTTGGGATGTAAACAGAGACACCTATAGTTGACATATCTAATTTTGAAGCATCTGTAAAAATCAGGACCCAGTCTACCCATTTGTTATTTATAAGTGTATTGAATTTGTTATTAGCATCTACTGAATTTTTGTCTACCCCAAAGTTCAAAATGATTTTAGGCTGGAATACAAGAGAATCATAACTAGCAATAAAAAGGGGATGGTTATCTAATAGGAGGGCAGGAAATGACAAGGATTTATATGTATGGAAGCTATTAACCAACAATGGTATGGTTTTATTG